GATGGATGGATGGATGGATGGATGGATGGATGGATGGATGGATGGATCCATATTACATTCCAACAGGGTATTGCCCAAAGATTTTACCCAGAATCCTGAGACCAGATCTTTAAAGTCCTTATTTTCACAGCGTTCTGCTAGAAAATTACATTTGAAGGCTTTGAAAGGTGAGGGGTCGGTCACTGATGCGCATATGATCGTATTCTTGGTATTCTTGCTGTGTTCTTCCACGCATATTGTTTTTTCGAGCAAAGTTTAAACTTTCTGCTGCTTCTTTTCTATCTTGTTCCCTCCCAACATCTAAAGCTTTGACTCTTAAATTTTATGGGGCTTTGTCTGCTTTTAATTGGCTTTTGGAAAGTTTGGGCAGCTGCTGCTTGCGAATGGTTCTTCCAGTACCATGGTAATCCATCATAACGGGTGTTGAAAAGTGTTACAACTATAGGAGGCATACGCTCAAACAGCATAACTTTCAACCTTTGGCAGAAAAATATCCCAAATAGTTTTTTTGCAGGATTAAATTAGTTCAGCTGATGCAAAAAACAAAGCAAACAAGATGTGAGCAGAATACTGCACATTACTGCCATTTTTTGTGGCACATGTAGGAAACTATTTCCTCAATTTTATTTAAACTTTCAGCAAGAGAAAATAACATTTATGAATGCAGTTAGATATTCGTTCTCCAAAAAATGCATTGCGTTGTTTTTTTTTTTATATGATTACATGAACAGAGCACAAGGTTAGGCTTGGAGCTGTTTTAGCCAATCATTTGCATATCATAATCAAGAGACATTCATTGTTGGCTTCGTAATTTGCCTTTGAGGGGCTGCTTCTTGCTTTGCTGGTGTGTGTCGAGTATCCTCCAGAAAAAGCACGAGAGGTGGTGTAAATTTATGGACTAAACGTCAAACTACTGACAGCGGCATTGATAATTCATGTCCATTCAAGTATCGATTAATAGTTTCAAAACGAAAAATAAATTCTGGTACAAAAAACGGATTTTTAAGTTCCTCTCAGTGTTCACATCTATTACTCTGATGACAATTTTACATAACATGAAAATCGAAAAGCAGAATCATAACTTTTAGCAATCGAAACAGTTGCTCCATAGATTCTGGATATGGTATTTTCTTTCTCTAGGGCACAGTCTTACCACAGTTCTACTTTTATCAATGTATGGATTATTTCTGTCTAATCTGTAGTCTCAGTATATGAGTATATATCCTGTTGGCCATTCTGTCAGACATGATAGCTGGGTATTTATTTTTTCATACTTGTAGTCAGAGCTAATAAGTTACATTACAATCTAATGAGCCTCAACCGAACATTTTATTTTCAATTAAAGAAACTGACCTTGCTCTAAAGTCTCAGACTTACAGTTTAGTTTACAAGCTCCTCTTTCTCTCACTGATCTGTCATCCTGAAGGTCAGGACTTTTTTTTGCTCGAGAAAACAACTGTCCAACAGTACTTTCTTTGATTTCAGAACCTTCTCTTATTTCGCGCATGTCTTTGTTTTGTTTTTTGGGGTTAGGGTTAGGGTTATAAATTCTAGTGGCACAATCTTTCTCTTCAGTTATGTGTCTTTGGATGTTCATCCGCAGTAGAGAACAGGAAACACTGATCTGGTCTTGCTCTGAGAAGCCAGCTCAGGTTGCCTGATGAGAGATCCAATCCTTGGCGATATGCTTGGTGTATGGTTCTTCCTGTGAGAAACCAGATCTGTGTGCATGGTTACAACAATAACCGGCTGTCAGCAACACAGACACACACGGTGGGACATACTGTATGAACAAGCTGATTTTTTCATACTAGTTAAAGTAATATATCAGTAGTAGTAATATATTTGCAAGTAATGTTGACATCAGTGAGTAGATTCTATGTGTGTCCCTGTGTGTTTGTGTTTTCTTGGTGGAAATGTGCGTATTGATGAGGAGTCTGAAGTCAGAGCAGAAGAGCAGAGCTCTGACAAAAGCCCTGCTTACTCTGGCAACCAAGCATCATGCACACAAATTGTTTTTAAATAAATAAAGGATGTAATTTACTCTCAGGGACAGTTTTGTTAATGCCATGACCAATACAGTAAGATAGCGAACATATATCTATTGGCTGTGACCTTAAGACAAAAGGATGTGTTATCATAAAATTGAGTTTGAAAGTATAAGATTTCTTCAGTTTTGGGACATTTCCATGTGTTGGTTTAATTTCAGGACAAAACTGCAGTTTCCAAAGCCCCAGATTCAATACCCTAAAACCAGAAGTGGCAAGATGTTTAATTGTTTTAGAAAAGTTATTGAAAATTCTCTGCCGAGATTGTAAATCAGGACATATGTCTAATTTGGCAGCAGTTGTATCCTTTATTTTTTCTGCAGTATATCAACTGGATTTAGTAGTTTCTCATTCTTCTCTAACAGACACCTGGCATTAAGTAGCCCCCACAAATCATGACGCTACCACCACCATGCTTTATCAAATAAGCAGTTTGTTAAATAAGAATAAAGATTGTTGTCTCTTTGACTCCAAGGCTCCAATACACTTCAATGCTCTACTGGTACACTTTAAGAGTCTTCTGTCTAGCTCTTACACTGTTGATAGCTTCTTTAGAGTTAATAAGACAGTTTCTTTATAGGTAAACTTCTTTTTTTTTTAACTTTGCCCTGATTTCTGATAGACTTAATGTGTGTGTTTTTCTCAAGGGAAAAAAGCTATTTGTTTTTTCTCTAATGAGGAGTTTGAAATATGGTATATTTGGTACATATGGTACATATGTGGTTGATCTTCTAAATTAAGGCTAGCGGCTCAAAATTACATTTAATTTATTTAGTTTTAGACAAAATTAAATACAAATGTAAATAATTATGTTGATAATTGTATACAATCATTGATTATAAACTATTAAGTTTAAAGATGTCAAATTCTTAAAAGCTCTTCTGACAGAACATATTCTGAAGAAAAATGAACAAATAATGTTTAAATATCACACTTTTCCACTCCTTTGTGGTTATAACAGTCCCTGTAGTTTCAGTGACAGTACCTTGTGAGGGAGGCGTAGCATCCAGCAGGGAGAGAGCTAACAATGTTGGAGGAAATGAAGCTTCAGTGTGACATCTCATTGGAGCATAATCCTCAGGTGGGGTTTGGCCAGCAGAAGGGAGGGGGTAGTTTGGTGGAGATCTCAAACACAAATGCGTATTTTAGGAGTGTTAACCACTGAAGCAGCATAGCCAGAGCTTCACTGTGTAAACTGCTTAAAAGCGTAAAGTCTTCTGCGTGACCTGACATCTCACTGATGTCATTCTACAGAGCCTGAGCCCTCCGTGAGCGGCTTCCTGTCTGTGGTTACTCACTCTTGGAAAAGAGGACGAGGGCAGAGACACCTCCATTCTCAACAGCCTCTGTCCTACTAACGCACACAGAGGGGGGGTTGCCGGAATGTCAGGAAAAAGTAACCATGGAAACCAATCAGCCCAGTATAATGGAGTCCAGACACACAGGTGAGTCACTGTCCAGTTCTGATTTCATGTTTGTTTACTGGCTTAAGATTTGTGTGAAGAGTCAATTGGAAATGCAACCTTCTGCAGACAACCTTGAGTTTGTGAAGTGTTCTTCACAATGATCATACACCCTTATTCAGACCCTTATTCAGTAGAATAATATTTGAATTTCGAGCAAATCTGTTGCTTGGCATGTATCTGAGGATAGACTCCTGATCTTGGTAAGCCAGAAAGTAATGCAGAAGGCAGAGCTGGTGTAATGAGACGCCGTCCTTCCACTCTGGTCTGTTTTTGTTGTCAGTTGTTTTTGTTCGAGCACCTGATCCACAGAGAATAGTCCGTGTTGTTTTTCCCAAGTTCCAACTCTCTGAGTGAATACTCATTACAGTACTACTCTGTTTTTTTTCCTCTTTCTTTTTTGATTATGTCTCGGTCTTACCTTTTTGATCCAACAAGTGATTTATAAATAATTTAGCTGACACTGGCGTTGCAGAAAGGGGCTGGCTGGCTGGCTGGCTAGCTTTGTGTGAATATGTGAGGATTTGTGTTTTATACATTAAAAATACATGAGATATCTGTTTGTTTGTTTTTTTATTATCACTTCTATCATTCAAAGATCGTTCATTTGGATTTGGGGTTGCTCTTTTTCTCACTCATTACTGTAAATGGTGATGACATTTTTAATTTCTTCAAAAATACTGGATGGAACACATGATTAACTGAAAAAACAGTCCATATTTAGAGACAAACACATAACATATTAAAGATTAAACTTAAGACTAACCAAACATTATATATTACAGCAGTAAGTGGATAATATTTCATTTAAAGAATAAATGCTCTTAGGTTAATTAAAGAAAGTGTTCATGCCTCAATTCATTTAGAAACAGAGGGATCTGGAATTAAAACTAGGCCAGAAGTATATCTGCTATGCATCACTGCTTTGTTCACCATACAGATGGCGCAAACCCCCTCCCTGCTCCCATCCTCACTGTTTATTTAGCTGAAGTAATGGCTTTTATGTGTGTAGCTGTTCCAGCTCTCATTTTCGAACAGGGACACCATCTGCTTCTAGCTTGCATACCTGTAAAACAGTCAATACTACAGATGTCAGCAAGACTGGGCGATAAACTCTGTCACAGCTGTTCAGAAAGGGCTGCAATTTAGAATGATAGCTTAAAATGAATTATCCTAGGTCCCTTGGTCCATAAAAACTAACTAAACAACTCTAAAACGAGTACTGAAAAGGCCACACACACACACACACACTCACACTGAGATGTAGATCCATTCATTGGGATTGCATGAGACCGTCCAGCTGAAAGCTTGTTAGCTTACCGGTGTCAAATGACTTTTTTTTCTTTTTTTTTACCTGAATGGCAGGTCAACAGTGCTGTTAGCCCTGAGGATTGTTAATGCTGTAGCCTCAAATGTATAGCTGGCTTCTCTGAACTGTATGTGTAGGTCACTCAGTTATGTATTTAAAACCAGATAACATTTCTAGTGCTTATCTGCTGAGGATTAGTTGCAAAGGAAATACAGTGAAAAACATTTTTCATAGATTATATGTTAATCGTGTGTTGTTTTTATGGAGATTTATGTCAGGGCATTGGTACCAATCATTTCTTTATTTTGTTTCTTTTGTACATATATCCCACAGGTCATCTCTTCCAGCACCCATGTTCTCCAGGAATGATGTGAGCGTGTGGAGTATCCTGAAAAAATGCATTGGCATGGTAAGAAAAGAACACCTCTTTCTTACATGTCTATAATTTGTTTTACTTCAGCAAAATTATGATTACTTCATAACTGGTCTATTATTTTTTTTCCAACATAAAAAGGAACACACCCTAAAATTGCTTAGATAAAGCAGAAAACAGCTTTTAAGTGAGACATTTTCATAAAAACACCAGCTCATCTTGAATTTGATAGCAGCATTATATCTAAAAAAGGTTGGAAAAGGGCAACATAAAAAGCAAGCTATGCTAAAATGAAACACTGGGAGGAACATGTTTAATGGCAGCAGCTCTAAAACATAATAGGATATTGCAAGAGGACCTTAGACAGACAGTCACTTAAACATAAATGGGCAGAGGCTTAGCAACCGGCAAAAATACTGTATTTTTTACTATTAACTGTTGGAATACAATAGAATGGTGTACAATTTTACACTATATTATCATAAGAATATCATAATATTTTATTCCCATGATTGCAGGGCCCAGAGGTGACTGCATTAATAACATGCATGACTCTTTCTAAAAATGTGAAAACATTGTTTTAATTTCAATTCTTAAACTAGATTTTTTTAAAATAATAGTCAGATCTTTCATCTCTGATGTAAAATTTTACAAAAACGCCAAGGACTACTTTTTTTTCCTCCTAATTTCTAAGATATGAACAGACTGTACAAAAATGTATTTACATAGCTGTTCCAACCATTTGTGGTGAAGCCGATGAATTAATTTTGTAGCTTAATCAAAATGCTTGGGCATGAGCTATGTTTGTGATTCCACAGCAGGTAAGGTGGATAAATATAGCATATATACACCATACCAGCCCAGTGTTAGGAAAAATTTACCTATGGGTGGATATTTGAAAACTTCACTGAATTCTACATCAAAAATAACCTACTGTCCAAACTGTTTAAAATAGAAGCTTTGAGAGATGCGATGAAATGCTGTTCAGCCAAAGTGTTTTCGATTTTTCTTTCTCTAATGAACTTGGAACTCAAAGAAATTCATGATCAGTTGTAGTCTGTGCTCTTTTGGATCTTTTATCTCTTTCATCTCTTCATCTTTGCAGGAGTTATCAAAGATTGCCATGCCTGTGGTACTTAATGAGCCCCTGAGTTTCCTCCAGCGGCTGGCAGAATACATGGAGCACACCTATCTCATCCACCAGGCAAATACTGCTGCAGACTCTGTTGAAAGGATGAAGGTACCAGTTATTTATAACAAATTCAATCAAAATCATTTGTGGTCCATAAAGGACTGACCCATTGTTTGAATTTATGCCCTTTTAAATGAAGCTGTGTGATCTTGAAATTATCAAAGGTTTATCTCTTTGTGTGTGATGTTGTCTTCTTATAAACACAATGCCCTGTAGTGCATTGCAGCATTTGCTGTGTCGGCTGTAGCATCGCAATGGGAGAGGACAGGGAAGCCCTTCAACCCGCTACTGGGGGAGACGTATGAACTGATCAGGTAAAACAGTCTCAAAGCCATGTGCATGTCTGGAAGAACCACGTCTTAAAATAAGACGCTTTCAGTAACAGGGGTCATGTCTATGTTCTCCACTAGAGATGATTTGGGCTTCAGGTGGGTGTCGGAACAAGTCAGCCACCACCCTCCGATCAGTGCCTTTCACGCCGAAGGCCTCCGGGAGGACTTTGTCTTCCATGGCTCCATATATCCCAAACTCAAGTGCTGGGGGAAGAGCATCGAAGCCGAGCCAAAGGGAACTATCACACTGGAGCTTCCCAAGTAAGTTCACAGTCACCTTCCTCTGAAGTTATTTTCTGTTGTTTTGGCTTTGACTGGCTGCTTTTTTTTTATCTCTGCAGATATAACGAAGCCTACACTTGGACAAACCCCACCTGTTGTGTACACAACATCATTGTCGGTCAGCTTTGGATCGAGCAATATGGCAACGTGGAAGTGATCAATCATAAGTAAAAGAAAACCCCCCTTTTTATGTATGCATGACAGCAAAGATGCATTTGCATGAGCAGAGATTTGGATGGATAGTTTTTGTGCTCTGCAGGGTAATGTTGATGTACTTGCAGATCCAGCGTATTGATTACAGAGGCAGAACTGGGACAGCAACGATTAGAATAGAGGAGTGTGAACAGGATGATGAATGTTTTAAAAACTTCAGCTTACAGAGGGGAAAGCAGTGAAAGAGAATTGCTTATCAGGCTGTCATTCCATTTCAGAACCGGCGAGAGATGTAGCATGACATTCAAACCCTGTGGCCTCTTTGGAAAAGAGCTCCATAAAGTTGAGGGTTACATCCTTGATAAAAAGTAAATTTGTCCTGAATTTCTTCTTTTTGGCAAACATTTTTTTTCTATGGAAATTATATAACAAGGAGCACCAAAGGCTGTGATTTATTAACATCTGTTCTTTGTACGTTTGCAGCAAAAAAAAGCTTTGTGCTATTTACGGCAAATGGACTGAATGCCTCTATATTGTTGATCCTGCAACTTTCGATGCCTACAAAAAGACAGATAAAAAGAATTCAGAAGAAAAAAAGAGCAACAAAGAGGTATGAAATGAAATATGAAATTATTCACAAAATCCAAGGAACCAAATAAGCAATAATTAACTGTAGACTTGCAGACCTTCCTTCATGAGGTAGTCTCCTGCCACTTAGCGAGTATATTGTAAACAAAAAATATTGGATTTTCATCATTTCCAGAGCACCTCCTTTTAGGTTGCCAGTATTCCATGAAGACTACATTTGTTTGTGCTATTTTTAGTCATGCCATCATGAATCCTGCCCTAAAAACTGCAACGTTCCATTGAGGAGCTTGAACCATGCATTAGTAACAGCACTTTGTGCCGCAACACAACAAATTTGTGTCTTGTTGCTATGCTCACTCTTGATGCGAGATGTCAAAATCAAACACACTTTTCTAAGTAGTCCGCCCATTCGCACATTTTTAGTTCCTCCTGCGGCCTCAGCAACAGTCTTGTTGGTAGCTGTTGTTTAACAAGTCGATTAGCTGCATTCCCCTCAAATTTCCATATTTCGGGTCAGCTCTGCATTGAAAGCATCTGCCACTTCCTGAGGCAGCACACAGACATTTTCTGCCTGTCTGCCTGCAGTCTCGCAACAGCGTTGACGAGGAGCCAGAGGAGATGCCTCCACCTGATGCAGAGACGGTGCAGGTCATCCCCGGCAGCGAGCTCATCTGGAGGATAACGCCTCGACCAGAAAATTCCGCAAAGGTACGGCGCACTGCGCTTTCTGTAGAGGAGGGCTGATTGAGAAGGTGTGGACCACTTCCATTCTCTCTGTTACAGTTCTATGCATTCTCCACCTTCACCATGCAACTAAATTATCTGGAAAAGACCATGGAGGGGGTCCTTCCTTCCACAGACAGTCGCCTCAGACCTGACATCCGTGCCATGGAGAATGGAGATATAGGTACATCGTGTCGCCTGGTTGTTTAAGTCTCTTTCACGTCTTTTCTGTTGATGCTGAGCTTTTTAAATTTGTCTGCTCTAGATCTTGCGAGTGCAGAGAAGAAGAGACTTGAAGAAAAACAACGGGCGGCCAGAAAAAATCGGTCCAAATCAACAGAGGAATGGAAAATCAGGTTAGTCACTCAGAAATGTGATCTGCGGTTTGTTGTGGCACATTTACAGATGGTGAATCAGCTCACTAGCATCTTGTTATCGACTATGCTTTTCCATTTACTGTTACTGAGAAGGAGCGCTGCACCTGGCTCAAGGTTTGGCTGAAAGCTTTTTCTTTAATCACTGTGTTGGTATGATGTGAAGTGCTGGGCTGCACCACCCTCCTGAGGCCAAAAGGCACAACTGCATGTGTTGTTTGCTTTTAAAAAAAGAGGCGACTGTGTTTTCCAGTTGTGATTGTGGTGACTTATCATCACACAATCTTTGTGCGTGTAGTTTGGCTTACTTTCTCCAGCCTGTCTCATAGAACACTGAAACCCTTTTCTTTTCTTATTATTATTCTTCAGGTGGTTTCAGCAAGGACCCAACCCACACAACAAAGCTCAGGACTGGCTCTACTTGAAAGGATATTGGGACAGGAATTACAGTCAGCTGCCTGATATCTATTAAAACAAAAACATGCACATATGCATTTGGATTTCTGTCTGTTCCACCTCTGGACTCCATTTTCTGCTCTGGGAATTCCACTCACAATATTTGCAACAGCATAAAGGAGTCTGCATAGAACAGTGGTGTGTGGGGGGTTCAGTTTTAAGAAAAACATGCTGAGCAATGCAGTAACACACTGTTTGAACCAAGAGGCATATGATTTATCTCTGAACAATAAAGCACAATTCACATTGTTTGTTAATACTTATGTAGTGTATTAGCATGTAGTGAAAAAACTAGAATGTATTGGATATGTTCCACATTAGGTGGAGTGCTTAAACAGCAACCTCAGATTAATTGTTGTCATTTAGCCCCTCCGTCATGACAACATTAGACTCATCAGTGTCAGACTAGTGATTAATATAGTTTTAATACTGTTGCATGAATACTATCATGCAATTCACAGTTTTAAAATGGAACATTTGGGTATTTTTGCCTTTTGCTTTCACAAAGTGGTGTAATTTTTTAATATTTAATGGAATGTGTTAGAAATATATTTGATGGCTTCTTTGAAAGACCACTATCTTTGATTGTAAATCTATGTCAAATTTCTGCTAAGACATCTGCTAGATTGGATCTGATAAGTGCTGTCAAATACCATGGCAGTTAGATAGTAAAAATATTTAGAATTAAGCTATTTAACTATGTGTTGTATAGATATGAATATGGATTAACAGTCTTTCAAATCAGGTCAAGAATTTTTTCTCACTATACTAATGCAGAGAAACTGGTCCTGCACTAATAGATTTGCGTGTGTGTGTGTATGTGAAGTTTTTGCCATAGATCATATATTTATATTCTTAGTGCTAAGTGCATTGATTTATTTTAAATTCATCTATCAAGATAAGTGCATGTGTGTAGCTAAAACTATGCAAGCCTTACCTCCCACAATCTAGCACTGAACATTGTTTTTCATGTTACCGATAGCTGCTACATGTATACTGTATGTTTTAGTTGTGTTTTTTCTGATCTCTCTCTTTTGGGTATCAAAACAGAATTTCTATTGTTGCTAAATAAAAGCTTAATGTTTAAGATTTTCTTTCTAAGTTTACTATTTTTTTAGAAGTTGTGTGCATTTTCTGGGTCTCAGTCGCCTAAACCTCAACTGTTCTTTAAGATATCTGATCTACTTTGGTATCAATTTCCTGCAAAGAAACAGCCATGCGACCAAACCGCCACATGCATGTTTTAGGATCCTGTGAGGAGGTGATGGAGGACGTAGGCAAAAAGGGCCAACACAAAACTGATTTCTCACCTGCTTAAGCTCTAGAGATTTAGTGTAGAGACTTGACAGATTCTGGTTGAATGTGTTATTTGAAACCAGTTACCATGGTGACATAGAAAAAGAACTTTTCTCTGACTCCTGTGTATAATTACCGCTTCCAACACCCTAGTTTTTCATTTTGTGTTTGTTTCAAGTAGCAGTATCTAAGACATCCTTTTAAAAATTATTTTTGTCTTTTAAAGTACAACTGAAGAATTTGACTCTTTTCTTGCAAGTCCCCCCCCCCCCCCCCCCGTACAGTTCTCCATATTCCTCGGGACAACTGTTACTGATCACACAGACCCCACAAAAATATCAAGCAAAGCAGGCTGGAAACCAAAGCCATGGCCTCTGGTATCTCATTCCCTGGGGTGCTCTGGAGTGGTTTCAAGCCTGGAAATGTTTATAACAAAAGTCAAGGCATGACGAAAGAAATATGAAAATCTATTTGTTTATATGCCGCTTTTTATAAACACTACATGTTGATGGGTACTTCTGATTTTTTATTTAAGTGAAATTCATGGACTTGGACATTGGGTTAACCATCTGTTCTGGGAATATCTTAGCACAAAGCCTAGTAGTAGCCTAGTAGTAGTTTGAGCTGTCAATATATAACTCATGCAGGGTGCAAAGACCCTGCAGTTATTCGTTCTCTTGTTCAGACCTCTGATTGTGGGAAGCTTTCAATTACTACACATTTCTGTTCTCTTCTGTGATTTTCTCTGTACCACCATTACCAATATATATTTTATAAGTATCTTTGTCCACACTCTTGTTGTAGGGTCGGTCTTTGTTATGTTTCATCAGACTCTGACCCGTTTGGCTTTTAACAATCTTCTCATTTACATGGATAATATATTTTGAGTCCATAGTAACAGGTTTCATTCAATATGCCCAAATATCTCATGTTTTGACTTTGAGGAAACAGAATTACATTTAAGAAGACACGTTTAATGCATGTTTAAAAACATTCAACCTTCCATTCATTGTGTTATTTCTGTTCATCTTGAGCCAAATGGAAGGTAAAAACAGTTGAAAGCAAATAGTGCACTGAAGAAGTGAAACACTGTTTGCACAATTATTAAAATCTGTATTTAAGACATATTTACAGTGACACAAATGGGCCAAAATGTCTGGGCAATTTCCATGCCTGCACAACAAAAACACTGATTAACCGACACATTCTCTCATTCCTTTTTAATTGCTTTGATAGGGTATTACTTAATATGTGCCATAACTTCTTCTGATTGGTTGCTATAACTCAGCATGTTTCCCTCTTTAGAGGCTGACGCCTTTCAAAATGTATTTACATTTTATAATTTATTCATTTCTTCATCTATTTTAGCCGAGATTTAGTTGTCGAATGAGACATTTGAATATATTTTTTTAAAACTTAGACTAAACTTGTATTGAGCACCATAGCAATAGGTAAATTAAAAACACATATAAAAACACATATAATTGAACCTTGAAACATTTTTGTTTTGATGCCTTAGCTCAGAACATGGAAATGAATAAAAATATAATGAAAAACATTAGTGTTGAGAGATGTATTGTGGCTTATCTAAAGTAACATTGTCCTGTTCATCTTAGGGTTAAATGTCAGGGCTGGGCTGAGGCTTTCATAGAGGCGAGGGCAGAGTGAATACGAACATGGAGTCTGTTCTCAAAGTCATAACCAGCGTAGTCCTCCTGCAAAAATATGCAAAAATGGTGGGGAAATTATTTAGTTTATTGCACAAAACACTGCAGTCCATGCAGACACATCAATGCACTCGCTGTCCATCACACCTGTTAAAAACGTAGACAGCCCACATCTTGGCTTCTCCTCTGTTTCCATCCAAAATAATTACATCTGTTCAGTTATGCAGCAAAGTACGTTTAGCTGCATATTATGATCTATCCTCATTCTATCTTTCCAGATTCAAAAACATAATCATAATCAATTCTTTCTGCACCAGATGCCTCAGTCAGACAGATAAAACCAAACTACCTCTTTCAATGCTCACACAGTCTACTGCAGTAGGGTTAAGATGTTTTTTTTTTGGCAGACAGATGTGTGTTGATGGGATGTGCGTCTATATATATATATGTTTTTTTTCCTAAGCCTTTGGCGATACGACAGTCTGAAGTCGTGCCACATTCAAGAATCCCTCCATCAAGGTATAACAACAGGAACCTAACATAGCTTCAACCAGCCTCGAACAACTGTCACTATCCAGGTTTACAAGCATGTCTCAAAGTCAGGAGGATGAAGGACCGAACTGAAATAAAAACACCTGAATCTGATTTAATTCAATGTGACTGGTAACAGGACTTTCTGGTCTACTCTTATGAGAGGCACAGAGTGAGCTGTACAGAGAAGTTGCATTTTCACTCTACCTCTGGTAATAGAGAGCGGGACAAGGAGGCCTGTGTGCTACAAAGTTGTGTAGCTTTATTGGAAAGAGCATCAGAAATCTAAGAAGTCCTCACTGCTGTGATTTAAGTGTTGAACTTTTGTTTAACATTTTAAATAAATCCTTTGAGGCATGCAAACTAACAACTTATCAGGCGTCTTCATTTGTTGCTCATATAAGCGCTTTCGTTTCATTTGCAACTTTAACCAGATAATAGAAAATATTTGCCCATGTAATCTGGGCTGTTTCTAAAAACATACATGCTATTTGATACTGCTGCTGCAGCTGTGTGCTTCCACAGCTCTCCTTAACTAGATAAGCATTGCTCACTCTCGCAGCAATTGGATTTTCATGATTAGAGATACAGTCCTCGGTTATTTGTGTTTGACCACCGCAAATACAGTGACGTCATTCAAACTTCCTATTACCTCTGTTTACTGCAAGGCTGTCAAATCACAGATTTCATGGGTAACCTAGGAACAGCATTTCCACTCTTTCAGTGGGTTACCTGATTAGGTGTATTTTTTCTTTCTCTGAATGCTGGGATATAATACGCACAACAGAAAAGTCCTTAATCAAATCTTTTATACTGCATAATCAGGGGGAACTACTCATATAGACATTCTTTGGCCATTGTAGACTACTGAGTACAAATCAGGAAGCTGAAAAATAGCCAGGATAAATCAAAAGGCTGGGGGGAAAGCGAGACAACAAAAAAAGCTTACTTTACCTTAGCCTGAAGCATTAGCATTCGGCCCTTCCCTGAAGTCTGGAAAAAGAATAAAATATTTAGACCGAATGCCTTTGCTTTTTACCAATTCGGGGAGAGATGGTCTCATGCCATAACACAGACAGAGAAAACGTACCTCTGCTGAGTTTAGCAGCACACAGCCCAGCTCATAGCAAGAATAAGGCTGGACGTAAGAGTTGGTCAGACGACCCACTTCGTCCCTTGCAGCCAAATGGAAATACTGTTAAAAACAGAAAGGAAGCAGAGTATTTCATTACAAAATAGAAGAGGTGTGGTACAGTTATTATCCCCCCAATGCAAACTGCCATGTGCCAGGTTTACAGCTCGGAAACACTGGATAATCATCTCAACATGACTTTACCTGAATGGCATCTTTGGAATTTTGCAGACATTTATTTATGGCACCGAGAAGCAGGTTTTTCAGGCCTGCACAGGAGGCGTCGTCAATGCCCTGCAAAACTGGAAGGAAGAAAGGTACAGTGTACCCATGCTGCATGACACAACACCAAACAGGAAAACCAAACAATAACTGAATAGATAAATACCCATGACACAGATGAGATAAGTAGTGTTCACCTTGTGTCATTGTTTGCAGCTTGGCAGAGGAGCAGTTGGGCAAAGCCTTCCACAGATAAAGGATCTCGATGACAGATAAGATGCAGAGCTCTTTGGATAGACTGGAGCTCCGGAGCTTTTCGGCCTGGTGACAGGATGTGTGCACACACGTCAACCACACACTCAACTGTACACCACATCTCTGAAAAGGAGTGGGCTAAATTACACACCCTCTTCATGGAAAACACCTCTATCTGATTATTCTTGCGCTTGAAAAGTCTTTGAACATCTTTGAACACTGCCGCCGCTCCCTCCAGATCTCCTGTGGCTCCTTGGCATGCTACAACACACAAGCGCTTGGCATAAGAAACCATTAAAGTGATGACAAAATGTCCTTAAAGCATCCTTCTATTGTACTGAACATTACCTCCCGTTAAATAGGCGTAGTAGCACTGTGACCAGCGAGACTCAGTTTTCAGTCGCTCGAACGCTCTGAAGGCTTCTTTGTAGTTCAGCTCTATCATGCTGCACCAACCTGAAACATTTGCCAGTCAGAAAAGCTTCTGCACCATAGGCCAGGGGAAGGCGTTTATAGAATCTGAAAGTGGAATACTGTACCTATTTCATATAAGCACACGTGCTGAATCTCCCTCTGGTCCGAGGCCAGATCTAAGGCTCCGCTGAAGGACGTCAAGGCACTACTGATCTGGCACTGGAAAGAGGAACTTTGTGGTGTGAGTTGCACTGAGCCTCCCCGTGACAACGGAGCAGTCCACTTAGCAAACGATAAGTTTTATTTTCAATCTGTCTTTACCTCAAGGCGCTGAACTCTGCCTTTGAAAAACATGAAGAGGGACGAGTTTGGGTAGATAGCCTCCCTTTGCTGAAGGATGGATTTGGCTTCAGTCAGCCCCATCTGTGTGTCTGTGCCATCCAGAGCAAAGAAGGGCTGCACGACTGTGTGGTACCACAACAGAGCCAGGCTGTAAAGAGAGCACAGGCACCAAATGAGGGAACTCGCAGGGCGTGGTCATTTTTCAATTACTCTTAAAGCTGCCACCTCATAATGAGCTAAAAGACAGCTGAGGAATAGCAAAAAAAACAATGGATTTTGTTACTTCAAGTATGAAGTCATTTTCACAGTGTTGACTTTAACTAAAAAGCTGAAAACAAACACTTTACCAGAACAGTAACTAGAATGGATCAGGAAGCAAGGACCAATTAGAAAAATGATCTGGCAGAGTCAAAGTCTGTTTTTCCTACTACAGAGTTCTTTAATATTTCTTTGTGTAGATATTTTTAAGTCAATGCATCATGTTTCAGTTACAATCAGTGCACAGATTCACAGACGACCTCACCCACGTACTCACGTAGCTAAAGGGGCCTTCATGTCCTTACTTTCACTGGCGTACGTGAGCGCTGACAGGCCTTGCTGACGGTCCCCCGGGAAGCCCAGCAGGTTGACGATCTTCAGCAGATGCGGCGGCACCATGGAGATGCAGAGGTGGAAGAGACCATAACCGAAGCTGACCGATCCTTTGAGCCGATCCAGGGCCTCCGGGCTGATAACGTCCCCCCTCTGAGACGGGCTCGGTCCGGCTGAAGAGGAGCCGCTGCGGTCCGGCTGGTCTGAGGCGGCGGGCGAGGACACAGGTGACGTTCCGGAAGCCGGCCGTCTGTTGCAGTCTTGTAGATGTGTGATGTCGCTGTAACATTTGTTGTACATCTTCCAGGCTTTGCGGAGGATCCACCCTCCTTTAATGTATGCTACCGGGGGATTGGAGCTGAGCTCAGTCAACTATGCTTTCCTTTGTGATGTCTTATTAGCATCCAAAATAATGCAAAAGCCAAACAAATATTAAAAGTCCCCTTACCTGACAGCTCTTGTTTGATGAAAGACAGAACTGCAAGGTAAACTTGGCAGTCGGCAATGATGATCTGCCTCTGGAGTCGATCCATGGCAGCCACACCCGACCTCTGAGAGTCCAACTGCCCACAGAAGAGAAACACACTCACAGACTGGTAACTAACATGCAACACGTCAGACCACTCTTCAGGTGAACAGCTGGCCTTTTTTCTATCATGTATTGTACACCTCATTCATCACTCACATTCCGCTTAATCTTGTTTTTAATGGTTTCAATGACACCGGTGTTTTCGCTCTCACACAGCCTCTCCGTTGCTTTGAGGTCCTCAAAGGCCATCTGCATCTTTTCCTCTTCAAATGTCATCATGGCGTTCTGCAAAAAGAAAGAAAAAAAGACTAATTAATCTATGCCACGCAACTCAACAACAAACCAAGCAATTACGGCTTTAAAGACAAAGTAAAAAGCGGTGTGGCCTAGCTTAGGCACTCCACATTAGACCTTGCACAGTTAAAAAATAATAGGACAACGTTATGTAACCAAGTAACAAGTACCTGGACAACTTAAGTGACATTTAAACCAACATCTTTATTTATATAAACACACAAACACACACACAAGTGACCATTTTAAAATATATTATTTCACTTATGAAGAAGTCAAATGGGTTATTACTTGGAATTCTTGTTGTGTAAGTTGTTTTGGAGGATTTAGGGTTACATAACAATTATTCTAATTTGTGTGAAATTAGATTACATCAATATCGTATCTGAGCACGCTTGACTTCCAGAGCATGTAAAGCTGAAAAGTCACAAGTCTATTTTATTACCAGGAAAAAAGCATTTTGTAATAAGGAAAAACACTAACTCTTTAATCTTCATTTTGAAATTAAATGCTGGGTTTAGTAGTTTTTGTCAGCGCTTGAATAGTTATTCAAACTAAAGCCAAACTTACCAGAAAACTTACAAAACTGGCACCAAAACTCATCAAAGGACTGTGACCCCTGGGGGAAAAGAAAGAGGGAAAGGACAACATAAGAAATGTGACAGGTACCGGGTAGGAAATAACATTCAGGATCGGGGGGGCTGAAATGCGTTAAAGCTCTCTATAATCAAGCAATGCAGTACAAGTAAATGCATTAATGTTGCAGTAAAATGAAAGTGACTTTAGTGAATCAAATGGTTTACGAGATCCTTAAAGCACCCTCACATAAAGCAAATAGTGAAAAGGGAACTTGGCTGGTAAACGCTACCAGGCTGATGAGTTTGTGTCTTTCACTTCCCTCTGCGTGTTTCGTGCTGATGCAGTCATAACAGGATGACACCCAGAGCTTTGTGCAATTAGTGGGAGAGGTGACATTTTGCTTTTCACCAGGGGTCAGGACACATAGAGACTGCCCTTCTGTGACATCCACATGCAAGCCAAAGGTAAGCCCTGCCTTAAAATAATAAGCCGTTATAACGACAATGCTGCATGGCAGGAGAAAGTACACCAAGTACCAACAACACACTGGCTAATAAGGCAGACAAGCTTTTCACTTCTTTGAATAATAATCAATATCTAGTTCACTTCTTTTTTTAAATCACGATCAATATCTAACACACTCTCAGAATCAACTATTCTGGCAACAAATGGGTTGGAAGATTATTTTCAAGCGAAGCGTTTACACTCAGATTTTATGTGGCATCTAAGAGATGTTTTATTTTTTAAGGATCAAGCGAACAATAAGGCTGACAGGTAGTTGATGTTGGGGAATTTCTCACAAGCCTGTGTGAAGTTCCCAGGAGGCGCTGGCTGGCATGTCAGGATCACTAACCTGCAAAACAAACCTTTTCATCCAACAGCAAATATTGTTAGAGCAAGCAAAGCAGACGGATCCTGACACAAGTCAACACTATATTCACTCACGTCTGTGCATAACAATTTCTCTGTCTGGAATAAAGTTTTTCTTCTCGGGGTATTTCTAACCCTGCTTGTGACCTCATCACAAGCTGCACACCAGAAAAGCGTGACAAACATGCCGGGGTTCGGACAAGCTGACAGCAACAACACGCCTTTACCCACTCATTTATTTTATCTATGCTGGCCCGTCACCATGTCCAGGAGTCTGAGACACAGCTGTCAAACGTGTGTTTTGAGCTGAAAAGCAGACGCGGGCAGGGTGGAGAGGCGGCTTGTTGTGTCTGTGCGCAGACCCACACAAACCTGTATGTTTTGAAGAGCTCGTCACTCTCCCTGAATCCGTTGTTGAGCAGCATGTTGATTCCTTTCAGCGCCAGCTCCGCGTCGTTTATACGGTCCGTCTTCTCTGCCTCCACGCTGCCCGGTGTTGGTTCCGTGGGGTCCGCCATTGAGATACCCGACGCCCGAGGTGAGGAGCCGAACGCGGCCGGTGAGGAGGAAGGCGGGGCCGTGCGGTATTTTTTTTTTTTTTTTTTTTGGATAGTTAACTTATAGGCAATAAACACTGTCACGGCCGAATTGTGCAGCGTTTGACAAAAGCTATCAGATATTTGTGTTCAAAATAAGGACAGCAGCAGCGAAACACACATGACTAAGTGGAAAGCCCTAGATAAGTGTGAGGGCAGCCGGCGTCCCTTCGGCTCCGCTGCTGTTCGGAGCTCTGCCGCCGGTCTGTGTGTTCCTGTGTATACAGGAAGTGTGCTGCCTTCAAGTGCTATCGGGATTAATCCCTTTCAGATTAATTTCATTCATATATTTTGTGAAAGCACAAGTTTTAAAGAAATAAACTCACAAAGCACAATTAAATAGAAACATGTATATGGTTTATTATGTCATATGCTTTTTGATTGTTCTTTTATTTAAATCTTATAACATGAATTTCACGAATTCAGTGATTTTAACCAAATCTCTCCGTGGCGTCTTTCAAAACGTCCAGAAATGGCTTAGTACTTCTGATCGCAGTTTTTTAAATGTGTTCAACCCTCGTTATGCAACTAAGTGCAGTTTTGCGTAATTAATTCCTAACTTTGAGGAAACGGCCCAACTTGGCAGAAGCTTAGAGGGCGTGGTCACTTTTGCATAAGCTTTCATTATCTCACTGACTTATTTCACCTTTTAAGATTTTTTTATTTTATTTTGTCAGTGTATTATAAAATGTATCACTTGAAATCACGAAAAAAGTGTTTCAAAGAGGGCCTCTGAAAATGTTTTTCATCTCTACAATAACATAGCGAAAAAATAATATTGTCTCTGTGTCCACATACTACACCCTAGTTAATGTGATCAAGGCTTTAAGATACTGTATCTATATCAGCTGAGTTCAGTGTAAATATTAGAAGAAAAAAAAAACAGCAAGGTTATTTTGTTCAAAATTAAAATCATCTTTTATAGAACAAACATGTAACTACAGAGCATAGATCAGACTGGTTAAACAATGGTTTACAAATCAATCATCACAAGGCAGGAATGCAAATCCAAATGCGTCCAATTGTTTTGTTTCTCATATAAACATATAGTCTCTTATCCATTCTGCTTTGAAAGTAAAACAAAGGTTAGTAAACACTTGCTTTGAATTTCAAGTATTTTCACCTCCAAATAATGGTCCCCAATAATTGAGCAATTTAGTGTCACTTATACAAATTCCATAAGTTTATGGTTGATTTTTAGATGAAAAAGCAAACATTTCTTTTTTTATTAGAGTAAAATATATAGAGAACACTCTTATTTCCCTGCGCAAGGAATGCAAAAAAGGAGAAATGTCTGATAAAATGTCTTTTAACCTTGTCATATCCAAAACTGTAGTTTCTGGCTTGTGGACATGAACATGGATAGCTTGGTGCCCCCTGAATTAAGCATTGTGGGTGTAAACATACTTATTCTAGAGTGAACTTTGGAATCCAACAGGAAGAAAAGACACAAGCAAAGTCATCTTGATATAAATTACAATACCATCACAAAAGGCATAAATTGTTTTCTTAAAGTGCAGCAAAAATAAAGTTCTGACAAAATCACACACCTGCTCAGTAGCATTTGATTGTAGACAGAGAATAAGTGAACTGACACATTGTTAGATGATGCATTCATGAAATGTGGGTACGATTCCATCACAAAATAAATACAGAAATGTTTCACAGAGCAGAAAAAATGTGTCCATCTCTCACATACATTCAGACACACACTCACACTCCAAGTGGAAGTCATAAAATGCACATTCTTACAAACAAACACATTCTCTGTCTCGGTAACTGATTGCACATAGCTGGTGGTTGACATGGTCCAAAGGTTTGTTCAAGGGTGATGCAGTGAAGTATGTCTGCTCAGCCCGGACACTCTTTGAGATTGACCGGACCAAACACGCTGGATGATCTGTCAAAGGAGATGGAGTCATCGTTGATCTTCATCTCCTGGATGCATCCTACGAAGGATGATGTGACGGGAAGGATCTGCTGCATCAGCGTGTCTGTTGAGGAACGGCACAGGTTGTCATGTGGAGATAGTTCTTCTAGATCTGTGCATTTGAAGACTTTAGCTAATAGAAAGTATATAGATAATGAGTTCTACTCACCAGGAATGCCACCCACATAAAGTGGGTCTTTGGTCAAAGTACTAGTGGAGGATGGTGGTCCGATTTTGTAGTTGTCCATTGTATCCACAGACAGTTGCACAACATTTTTCCTTTTGATTACTGGAGAACACAGAGACAGCGATGTGAAGCAAATGAATAAGACAAAAGGATACCTATTAACAGTTACATTAATTGTGTTTTACCTGAGATTTTATGAAACATTCCATCACATAAAGAAGTTTTTGGCTTCACTGACACCATAAATTCTCCTTTTCCATTATTGACCTGAGCTACGACCTGTAGATTGGAAGATATTTAAACATGGTTGTTCCAAGACACATGTGGAATCACCTTTTCTTGTTATTACTTTATCACAATTTTCGCATTAAAAAGTACATTTTTAAACCAGCTGCCCGAAGGTTTTTCATGCCGACATCAAAAACCAACATGAGATCTCACCTCCCCTCTATGCATGTAGACGGTGAGAAAGTGGTTCATGGAAGAGCCATGATGTGTCCTGCTAGAGGCCCCAACGTGAAGCAGGAGTCCAGTCTGAGTTCGTGGTCGAATATTAAACAGCAGCTCAAAGGTGGAGCCCACGACAAAGGAGTCGTCTGAGATGTAGGAAATTAATAAAATAACAGCTGTTAGAGAACAGATTATCTGCTATGACGCTAAAAATAATGAAGAAACAGCACACTGAATGAACACATCATAAAGAGTTCCAGTGTTAAAGGAATAGTCCTTCAAGAAACTGTTTATTACTAATTATATCTCTGTATCCATCCATCCATCCATCCATCCATCCATACATACATGCATACAAACATTTCTGTCCTCTCAGGTATCGGTGTTGGTTTGCTTTGTTCACAAAATTTCTTTATCACTAAAAATAAGAAATTTGGAGTTTGTACTCACTGATCAGCACATGCGCCCCATTCCCTGAGAAATACACCCCTCTTTGTGTCGGCCCCTCAAAGCATGGTCCTGCACCACGGTTTGTAGTTGGACTGGACATTAGCGCTCCATTCATTTTAAAATTGCGCACACAGCCAGACACACTCTGCTTTGGAAGGGCCTTTGACTGGAAGCAAGAACAATGCTTAGCTTTAAAATTCTAAAGACATATTTGTTGAGTGAAAGAGTTTATCCGAAGGGTTTTTTTTTTTTTCCTTTTCACCTTTAACTCCTTGTGCAGGGATTCCGGTGCACTGCCCAGATACACAGGTGACACAAAGTGCTGCAGAGACATCATTTCAGGATTTGTCAGCTGACCGTCCCGAGCTCGGATCCCATCCACGATCAATCTGAACTTCTTTCTCTCCAGGCTGAAGATGACCTGTACTCAACACAATCATAAACACTGCTCATTTAACTTTTAAAATCTATTGAGTCGTTTGTATTTTTGATGAAAAATAAGTGATTAAAAATCTATATATCCTCTGACCGAGTGCCACTTTCCATCGTTGTACTTTTCTCGGTTGAAAATCTTCTGTTTGCCAACAGAAAGTCGGATCCTGCCCTTGGACATGTATAAAGCCAAGTGAGAATGCCCCCCTCTGGTTGGAGCGAAGAACAGCAGACCTTCAGGAGAGCGAGTCCTCACATCTAGAGAGAAGTGGGGCCTGGGCAGTGTGAAGGACAACGTTATCTGCTGAACTACAGCACTCTTCCTCACATAACAGAACGTGTGGATGCCGGGGTGTAACAAAACTGGCCCCTTACCTGGGCTTCAGGATTTCTAGTGGAAGATTGTAGGTCAGGCTGCTAATTGCCCCCCCCATACGATAAGCATGTTGCACCTGGGCCGGTAGCGCACATGCTGACACACTTTCATTTATCACTTGCATCACACCATCCTAAAGAGGTGAAAGACAAACAAGGAAAACCCCTTAGCACAAGCTGGTGCTTGAGTCTTTACAAAACATAAAGCTCCAGTAAGTCCCCTGGGTGGGTTCCTGTCCGTTAATAAGAGGATTTACATTTATATCTGCAAAAATTCTAACAGTGAAGAAAAAACCTGAAATGCAGAAACTTCCCCATATTATGACGGCTACATGCTTTCCACTAATCCATGTGGGGCCCCAGCTAAGATGTGTTTTCTTTAAATAAATGCTGCTTTTCTTCATCTAACAATGAGCCAACTAATCTCTTGCTTGCTTAAAAAAAGTTGCTCTCTAATTTGCAACAATTACTAATTTCAACTACATATTTTGTCTGTTCAGAATTATCAAAAACTCGAATACTAAGGAAAACCATTATGTTCAAACTTTTGTCTTAAATTATTGTTGTATGTGATTTAAAACACACTGTAAATTGTACTATTAAAGAAAACTGTCATAGAAGTTTCCTGCCTGTCTGATGCTCAACACTAAATCAGTGGATCTCTTATTTTTCAGATTTTTGCTGTCTGGTACAATGCAGACTGTAAAAGCAGCAGATTGAGTCATTTCAAATAGACTCACTGGAGATGGCACATTTATGATGGCAGCATTATAACTGGTCACCTTATTAGGATTGAAATGCAGATCTCCTTATCTTACAGGATTTCTTTAAGATGTAAGCTACATTCAATACAATCAAAGGGACATGAGTGATTTCAGCTAAGACAGCCATTCACAAAGTATGAGCAGAATCATGATATGATAGAATATGAATTATGGATGAAGACCTACTGATGACAGAATATCTTTCTTTTTGTAGCCCAGAGATACATCCACAAACATCATGAAAGCTGACCCACAGGACTAACAGTATCTATTGGGTGTGTAATAAAATTAAGTTTACTATATGTCATTTACAACGGGCATTTTGTCCTTCAGCATCAAATATGAAAGCATGCTATTGTCAGTTTCATTAAAAATAAATGGGAATGAGATCTTATTCTGTTTAGTATATATTAGTTGATTCCAACGTGAACATGCTTGTTCAATGATTGAAGACATTGAATTAAAACGTTTTTATGTAATTGCGTAAGGAGTGACTCTAGTTTAGACCAGAAAGACAACATTTTGTTAGAGGGAAGGTGCTTGTGATTGACTGTTAGAGGGTTACATGGAAGAAAGAGAAGAGACCTCACATTATTTCAAGGTTGTTATTCAGTCATTTGTAGGTGACAGATTTAAATAAAATAATAGAATTTGATGAAAAACAAAACAATTTTATAGTATGGTAATATCCTCGGAAGTGTCCATGCAAGATTCTTTATTGTTCACTGCAAATGATCAGGCTTGTATTTAAGTAATAAAACAGAACAAAACAAAAAACAGTGTCATGACATTTCCAGCTATTCGAGACATTAAAAGATTCTTGTCTGCACCACCGGGCCTAAGGACTCCTTCTTCTTCATCTCTGGAAAATGAGGAGGCAAAATTCAATGTAAAAAGGTCAATCAAAGTCATGAAAGAGGAAGAATAAGCTGGACTTTACTTACTTCTATTGAAAGAAAACTTCATCAAGTGCCACAGTAATAATGTACACGTTAGTTTTAACAGTTTTTAGTAATATTGACACCTCTTTAATAACATGACATTAAAAAAAGCCAGTTGATCTGCATTAGAAAAAAATTGTCCTGTGATTTTTCTTATCCAGATTACAATATGTAAAAGAAAACCTCACCTTCTTGGAGTTGCGGTCAAGCATCTGTTGAACAGGACTATTAGCCGAACATACATCCACCATAACATCTCCAGCCGCTTGGAAGGAGCTTAAGTCTTCTGCCCTGAACAGGTTGTCTGGCCTGCAATCCCCCCGAAAAGAGCAGGTATAAAAAAAAAAGTTCAGTTTGAAAGCACCTTCAAAGGGACTTCATTTAAAAATAGCGTAAATTCAATTAATCTGAAAAGATGGAGTTAGGAAACGTTACCGTCTGGTATAAAGGTTGGAAATGCAGCCTTTGAACTTCAGATCTCCTAGGACAATGGAGCTGCCTGTCCCAGGTTTTAATAGGCTGGCACTTAGCTCCTGACCACTATCATCATCATCAATGTGCATCCCAATCCTGAAAGAATCATAACATCATTGTTTGATTTTTGCCAATTGCAGCAGTAGAAGAGTGTTAAAAATTCAATTTACTGTCTGATATCAACATGTGTAAAACAGATTTCACACCAAACATGTAACTGTGGAATTGCAAAATCAAAACTGGACCAATATTTTCACCTGTAACACAATTCTTCAATCTGGAAATATTTACATTCACTTGGAACGATAAAATCAATGATTCTTTCTTACGTTTCACCGCTTTTCTTGAAAGTCAAATAATGCCAGTGCCCATCATTATACTTTCTGTTTGATTTCCACATCTTGTTTTTGAAGTTAAGAACCACATGGCCACTATCTAAAGCAAGATGAACTGTGTTAGCCTAGAAAGAGAAAAGAAAAGCGTGTTGAAAATGGCTCGATTTATCCTTCACCCATAGAAATCTGAAAAGCTTTTAGTATTAGAGGATTTCTATAAAGACTGACCAACTGATTGCCTTGTAAAATAAGACCCCCTTGTTCTGTGCTCTTAAATCCAAGAGAGACAGTAATAGACTGGTCCAGATCAAAGCCTTTGAGCTCAGATGAGAGGGAGCTGCCGAAGCTGAACTGGGCTTTCCGTGTGACCTAAAGAATAAGAACACCAGTATGTTTACACAAGAAAAAAAGAAAAGAAACTATGACATGGATGTTTCAGATACGTTGGGATGCTGAATGTGATGTCATACCAGTGCATCACTTGGGCATCCTTTGCTGACTCCAACTTGTTCATCAAGTGCTTTATTGCTACTGTCAATTTGTAATCTCTGCATGCATCCCTTGAATGGCTGTATGGTGATGTTATGTCTTTAAAAGGGACAAGAAATCGAGTTATTTTTCACAAGAGACAAGGAGGACCACCTCTCTTACAGTATACTCTCAATCACATGGAATAATGACAAACACCTACTTTTCCCTCAACTCTTGAGGTACACCACCGATGTACAGGGCTTTCATTTGATCAAATGGAAACTGAATTGAAGATTCTGCCTTTTTTTCACGATTAAAGTAGACTGACATGATGTTTTCCTTGACACTGACGATCATTGTTGAAAAGCCGCTTGTCTAAAAACAAAAATCAAGAAATGCAATTTGCAGGTAAGGGAATTACATCCAATAATTAATGTATGATTTTACAAGAATAGGTAATGGAGTTTGACTGTGAAAACAAAAAAGAAAAATGGCCACTCACCGGAGTCACTTTGGTGTTTATTGGTATTTCTGTAGTTTTTGTAAGCACATTGCCACGTATAACGATGGCGCCTTTCTCAATTGTAATCAATAAGTAATCGTTCTGTGTAGCACAGGAAACAACATTTTACAGTTCTTGCAAGTAAAGATGATTCTATTTCAAACATAAAAATTGTAATGCACACAACTATAACAAGAGTTTACCTCCACTTCCATATACATGAGCAGACCCGTTTCAGAGCGAGACGAGATGTCCACACTGATTGCGGGACGGTTTCCTAATCCGTTAAGGTTTACTTTGCCATATCCTGTACCTTCGTAGAGGTTTGAATCCTCTGAAGATACATACCTAAATGGAAATAAGCATTAAGAATGTTAAAAGTTATAGTCTGAGTGCAGCAAGTGTTTGTAATGTAAATGAAGATGCTAGCTAACTTTTTAAAACTTAGTTTAGATGTACATATTAAGCCAGTTATGTGAAAGAATTGTTTAAATATAAAGAAAAAAAGCGAACAAAAGCTGCTGATACATTAAATTAATTGTCAACCACTTATCTGTTCCCTACTCTGATCATACCTCTTGCATGGAGTCTGTGGATTGATCTTCTCTGCTCTTTGGAAATTATAAAGACTCATCGCTTTGTCATTAAAGGAGAAGAACTCAATACAGCCCTTGTAATTGGGATACCGGAGAGATGGTGGAGGCTGAGGGGCAAGCAAAACATATCAGGGTATTAATGACCCTTGTTACAATAAATAATTACTGATAATTCTGCCATTATTTCATTGCTTCTCACAGTGAAGTTGGTAGGATATCCTCCAACATAGAAAACAGTGTCTTCTGGATTAAGGTCTAGAAGGTCTTTGGTCTCCTGTCCTTGGCTGCTCCTTTGAATGGGCTCATTATCTGAATTAGAGGTTATGTCTTTGGTAAGTTTCATCTCTGCGTCCTGGTAAATTCTAAATTTAAGAGGGGAAAAAAACAAAACACAATTTACACATTTCCATCACAGCATCAGCATTCTCTTTCTTTGGAAGATTCTCTCAGTTTAAAAACAAAGAGAGTTGACTCAAATTGAATAGTGGAGAAAGCAGAATCACACGGTGCACGTACCTGCGTAGGTCCACTCTGTCAAAGGTGGCTGGCTCTGATACAGATGTGCTAATGATGCCTGTCTCAATATCATACTCCTTTCCGTTGAGTTTGTACACTCCATGTAAAACATTGTTCTTCAAATACATGCCGATGTAATTCTTGGAAGACTGCAACACACAGTTTGTTAGTGCCAAGCGGAAAAGCAGACAGCTCCACTTTCAAATGTCTATATTTACTCACATCCTTGCTGCCAAGGTAAAGGACAAACAAGTCGTCCGCCGTGCTGGTTTGTCTACGCCTGCGGACTCCATCTCCCCTGCCTCCTGGTCTCTGCAGTGCCAAAGACATGGCCGTGTAGGCTTTCAGATCATCGAGGTTTGCCGGTGTTCGCAGCTCCACGTGACCATCGCCGCCAAACTTCATAGGGATCACAATCTGGAACGACAATAAAGTTTGAATTTAAAACATGTCAAAGGGAGCTGTTACATGGGACGCGTCAGAGCTCTTATATGGAGTATAAACAGAGCTGGGGCTCACCCTGTTAGCTGCATCCCTGGCTTCCTCAATGAGCTCTTTAATCTTCTTTATGTTTGAAGATACGTTGGAAATGGAAAACTGTGAAGTCAAGTTCTCCACTTCTGTGATCTTGTCAGTCAGGGATGGGATGGTTTTTAATAAATTCTTCACTGGAAATTAAAGATGTGCGAAATAAAACAAATCTTAAAGTCAAGAACTGTTTCGGTTGTTCAGTGAAAGAAGCATTTTGAAAATTACTTTTTATCATCCCCGCGACCCCACTGGGAATAAGCGGTATGGATAATGGATGGATGGCTTTTATCATCTAAATCTTACCCGACTTATCAACATCGTCCAGTACACTGCTTGTATTAGATTCCACAGGGGAGACACTGATCTTTTCGATCTCCTTTCTAATGGCCAAAAGTCTGTCCATGGTGTTGGTTGCTGTGTTATTAGCCGAAGCTGCCTTCCTCTTGGCCTCCTCAATCATATCTCCTATGTCATCTGGAAAAAGATAAAAAGAAAATGCATTAAAATCTAGCTAAATAGACATGGAAGCGGCACTCTACTGACAGCCATGTTTCAGTTGAACATGTTTTGCACTAATCCTATGACTTGCTTTCCTCTACCTCTCTTGGTGTTATTCAATATCGTTTGTGCCTCGAGGAGGCTTTTTTCTAGGGCCTTCTTCTTCTCTTCAGCTTTTGACAGGCGCTCTGTAAGGTCAGTAAGCTTTTTGGCTCCATCTTTAAAAAAAACAAAAACAGGAGTTGATGAACAAAGTTTACAGGTATGTAAAAGAAGTAGAAAATAAAAGGACGGATGAATACCCTTTAGGTCTTTTTCTGCGTCTTTGGCATCCGTCAGCAGGTCCTCGCTACTCTCTTTCAGGTCTTTTGCTCTTTCTGGAAACTTCTGTTTTTTCACATCCTAAAGTAATAAAGAAACATTAGTTTAAATTACTTAAAACAGTACCATGTCACACGTCAAGCCAAGAAGAACCGTGTACATAAGATCCAGTCTGTAACTTACCTTCAGGGCTTTGTCTGCAGCACTTTTGGCCTCGTTGGCAGCTGCCTCGGCCGCATTAATGGCATCCGTGATGTTCTTGTATGCCTCGATAGCTTTTTTTGCATCACGGACCTCAGAAAGTCCACTCGCATTTTTCAAGGCACTGTTAAAGATGAGATAGCATGAGAAAATAGTAAGGGGAGGAATGTGAATTACAGATTTACAAAGCATAAAAAAGGGAATAGTTCCAATTCTCTATGGTATAAAAAGCACTTTCTAAAAAATGCTGCTTCAGGCATTTTCTGCATCAGTTTTTTCTCATTGTATGCACAGGAAACCTACTCCTTAAGATCTTGCGCCTGTTTGCTCAGGTTCCTCGCATGCTCCTCTGCGAGTTCCACAGTGGCTTCCTGGGCTGCTGCCTTGGCGATCTCATTCACTTTCTTTATTAAATCAGTCTTTGCACCATCCAGGGCTGCTGCCAGCTGTTCATACGCCTGCCAAGGAAAAAGACAAATGAAATGGTGCGTGTAATTTATAGCCCTGGGAAATGTTCGTTAACACAGACCACAACAGGGAACACACATATCATTATCAGAAGGGATTGCCTGTTGGAACTTGGCAGCTCACTTGTGGGGATCAGGGCTAATGAAAAGTTAGGTACAGTGTATCAGAAAAAATGGAATGATTAAATCACAAGTTATTTACGGGTGGGCTGTGAGGGCAGATAACAACTTTGGTAAAGATCAGAGAAATAAGTAAACTGTACCGTTTTACTGTCTGTGAGGTTTTTCACCAAATCCTCTGTTAACTGAAGTTCCTCTTCAGCCTTGGCCATTTGGTCCTCAACAGTTTTGCGTTCCTTTTTTAAGTCCTCAATAGTTTTCTGCAGGAAGCACAAGAATAAGCTCAATTTCAAAATAGGTCATACAGGAAGTTTGTTTTTAATACAAGAACATAATCAATGACATTTGTTAATTAGAACAGATGAACTTCTGTTTCATTCACCTGCAGGTCGTCCAGTTTCTTAGCATTTAGTCCGTTCTGGGAATTAGCTTTTTTCACCAAGGTCTTAGCCTCCTTTAAAGCATCATCCAGGTCCTTCAGTTTCTTTTCATAATCCTTCAAAAGACTCTGCATCTTCTTTGCATCTGCCTCGTTTTTGTCACTCTGCTCACTTACAGTATTCTTGATGTAGTCCAGCACTTAAGTGTGGAAAAGATGGGTCAACAGGTTGCTGTTACTGAGTTATATAACAAGATGTTATTTAATAGTAATGACCTTCTTCTCCACACAACAGTATGATCTGTACACTCATGATGCTCTGGGTAAAGATTTTTTTAAGAGTTTTAAGAATATTAAAATAGTTTTACATTTCTTAGCCTCCTCTTTTTCTTTCTCAGCTGCCGTCCTCTGGGGAGTGAAGTCCTTGTCCTCCATCTCATTCACCATGCGCTGAGCCTCCTCCAGCATTTTAGCCAAGCTTTGATTGGGCAAGGAATCACCTCTTCCTTCATTCTTCAGCTGGTCCAGTAAGTCTACAGGCAGAGAAAGAAAAAGACGGTATTAAATCCCTAATTCAAATGATTTAGGGAACGTGCTGAAGGGGCGTTGCGGCTGCAGATTAGTTTATGCTGCCCTCTACCTTGGATTTTCTTCAACAGGTTTTTAATCTCTGTGTCCAGATCCTTTGCTCTCTTATAGGTTTTTCCAACACCGGCCAATGCCTTGTCGGCTTCAGCAGCCTTCCTATCTGCCTAAATGAAAATACATAACACACATTTATACACAACTTCTTAATTATTATGTCACACTAGGGCCATAACGATATAGATTAGTATAGAACCTCTACCTTGTCATTCAATTTATCGATGTCTTCTTTAATGCTGGTCATGTCCTCTTCCAGCTGTTCCACAAGGGACTTTTGGGTGTTAATGACGGAGTTGAATTTTTTGACAAGAGTCTGCAAATCACAGGAGCAGAAATGTCAAATAAGAGTCAGATATCAATTGTGTAGGTGGGATTTGAATATAAATTCAATGAATGACAGTTTTTAATAAATAAACCATCACAGATTTATTATATTATTGAAAATATGTGTAGTTGCCTCTCATCCAACAATCGATATTGATTGATTCTGCATGCCTTCCCCCGTATCCACATGATTCAAATATATAGTGCTGGTTTGCATCAAAATGGCATTTTACCTTGGTGTCTGAGATGGATTTTTCTAGCTTTTCCAGTCTGTCCTTGAAGGTAGCACTTGCAGATGCATTGTCCAACTGGGCCTTAATCCTTGCAAACTCATTATCAAGCTTCTCCAAGTCATTCAGTAAGGTCTGAGCACAACTATCACAATCTGGAGTGCAAAAGAAGATACCCATTAGCCAAACGGTTTCCATTTTAATGTAAATTAAATGTATCGTCATTGGGCTTTCATTCTTTTTATTAATTCACCTTTGCATTGCACATCTGTGTTTGTGTCTCCTGGTTCCAGAGTGTTCTTGCAGACTGCAAACAACACAGTAAACTTAAGTAAGACATACATTACAGATAACATGGAATGAATCTGAACGTGAATTAGTAAGTTATGTTCTGATACAAACCTCCAGTCCTGGAATCGCAGTTGTTTCCATTTCCATTGCAATTACACCGCCTACAGCTTCCTCCTGGTGCCAGTGGGTCACCAAAGTAACCAGGGGCACATCTAAAGCGAAGGTAAATAAATGCCACAGTATAAGTTGAAAGAAAAGTAAGCAGCAGTACTACCAAAAGCACACGATTGATCAGTCCACAAAAACACTCACCTCTCACACTTCTCTCCAGTGTACCCAACTCTGCATGAACACTGGATTTCTCCGTACACCTCTCTGCAGCCAACCGCAAAACTGCATATCATGGAGATTAGAAATTAATTAAAATATCCAGAAGCAGTTCTGTGTTGTCATTTATTCTCCTTTTTCTCTCATACTTCTTTGCGGTGGAGGAGACAGGGCATGGACACAGCCTGCATGTCCTCTGAGCCGCACTGCCGTAATAACCTTCTTTGCAAACTTCACATCGATCCCCGGCTGTGTTGTACTGACAGTTCTGAAAATGAAATATTCATTAAACCGCGTCCGAAAAAGGAAGGATGAGGCTGTGAAAGTAAGAGATACAGAATTAACTTAGAGAATATAGAAAATCTCAGGGCACAATGCAGCTTGTTTTGTGCACGTGCTGTTCCCCATTTTTTTATTGCCTTCCAAAACAAACTAGGGAACAAAGAAAAAACTCTTTTCACTGAGGCTTTGAGCAGGAAATATGCAGCTCCATGCCTACATTAGGCGCACAGGCACAGTCTTGATAGTCTTGCATAACCAGTACACAACACTGACTTTGTCAGACATAAAGAGGAAGTATGATTAAAACCACACCATAGAGAAACATAAGATGAGCTGTCTGTTGAGGGTGTGCTATCAGACTTAGACTTAGACTCAACTTTATTTATCCCTTGGGATTACCCGTCCGGGGAAATTCTGGAATCAGATGCGTCAGATGAATTTGAGGGGTCTAGACTATGACAAATATTTAGTTCATCATGGCAGGGCTGAATTAATACGTGTCCATTCTAGGTCTGATCGGTTCTAGTCTGTACATTTAAGATTATGAAAGGTAAAAAGCTAAATGTGTCTCTCACCAGACACCTTCCTGTCCCATCTTCACACTCATCAGCCAAGCCATTGCACTCACAGGGCAAACAGCGACCCAGATAAGGCCCACTGCCGTCTCTGTAATAGCCAGGAGCACATTTCTGAGGAAAAAGAAAAACAGACATAATTATATACCATAATATATATATTTTTTCAACAATAATGTAGAGCTGTTTATCTAATGGACTTTTCACCTTGAGCAAACTGCTGTCTCACAGAGCTCTACTGTATAAATAGATGTGTAAAAGTGTTGTTAATCTCTGCCTTTCATCATACTGCTGCACGGTATAATACAAGCAAATATAAGAGGCTATCCCACTGATCCCTGCAGTCTGAACGGCCATAAAGTGTTCACATTTTCTTTCTCCCATAACAGTATTTCCCCCAAAAAAGTGTGATTTGTTTTCAGTGAAACAGTGCACGGCATGAAGCAGCTCGATCTGCTTTGTCTGTCATTAACAATTAACTGAGGAAAACGCCCTTTGCCCCCAGAGATATCAGTCCTCTGATCTCAAACAGAACCCACTTAACAGAGTATAAGCAGCGGCTTCTCACATAAAATAAGTTTCAACAGAAAAAGAGCTCCGCGTCTTCACAGATCTTTACCTGAATCTGGGAACTGGCACTACTGTCATGAAGAGAAGGATACTGGATGGTCTGTCCCCCGTCATTGAGTGAGGGGTATTGTAGCACTTGTGTGTCTCTATCGTTCACAGATGGATACTCTATCTGCTGAGCTCCCTGGTCTTGAGGCAATGGATATTGTATCCTCTGAGAGCCCCTGTCATGATGTCTGGTGTGCCGTGGCCGCTGTCCACCTCTGAACGGCCTGTTCCCAGCGCAGCAAAGTCCAATCAGGGTCCAATAAATGAGGGTCTGTACCAGAACCCTTCTATGCCGGTGTCTATCCATACACGTATCTGACATTCCCAAAGTTTAGTGTGCATGAAATAATGCTCCACTCTCCTCTGCCTCAGCCTCTTAAACACACGCATGCAAACTCACACACACGCAGACACCATGAGGACACACCCCGTTTACCTGAGTCAGTACTGCAGGTCAGCATGAGTGTATGCAGGCACACAAGCACTCACATGCAAGTGTTTACACGTCCTCAAACTTGCTCTTATGAAATATACTAACACGCAGAGGAATGCGTTTGGGGGGGACGTTCAAACATATAGGGGTGAAAACAACTGCCCCAACACAATGAATGGAAGAAGCCTCAGAAAGCAAAACTTTGCGGCTATATTTTTTGTATATTTCACCACACGGTTTGTTCAAGTGTTTGTGACTGAGAGGAAAGTCAGACATCCCCAGACAACAATGACAACATAGTCATACCTGAATCATGCTCCCAGGTGCACAACGGAGACCACTGGGTGTGTCTGCCTCACTTACAGTTACATGCACATACTGGCGGAACACTCAGATGAGCACACTCAGGTTTATGAGTAAAAGTATGTTGCCAAGGGGCCACACCCTGCATTTCAAGGCAAGGCACCTTGTCATATTGCCTCTGGACACACATATTCAACTTCCTTTGAACACACCCAATCGTGCAGACATATAGGCAATAGGCAGTTTAAAAAACATATGCAATAGTAAAATAAAATCTGATGGATTTTTTATTTTATTTTAATGTGTCCTCTGCATCATGAATAACTACAGTTTTATCTGTTGCTTATTCTTTTTTTGTTTGTTTGTTTTTTAAATTTGTCTCCATAAGAAAAACGGGAATTATTCTTATAAAAAACAGACGTGGCAGGCATGAAAGTCCTCTAGCCACCCTTATTACCTGAATGACAAAAGATCCTCTCCTTAGCAACTATATCAGGGCTGTTTTATCTGTTGCTTGTTCTTTTTTTGTTTGTTTCTTTTTTAAATTTGTCTCCATGAGCAAAACTGTTAATTGTTCTTATAAAAAACAGACTTGGCAGGCAGGCATAAAAGTCCTGAAGCTAGGCTTATTACCTGAATGACAAAAAAAATCCTCTCCTTAGCAACTACATCAGGGCTGTTTGTGCTGAAATTATTGTGAGCTGTAACCATGCCAGTTATTATAGCTGTATCATCACTTATATTATGTCTGCATGATTGTGCCACACATATCCCAGCCTGGGGCTACATCATTTGGCCGCACAGCTCTCCAAACGGGTATTTTCCACGAAGCCCCACCAACAAACATCAGCTGATACATTTTTGTCCTGCGAAAAGGGCGTAGCGTTTAGTTAAGACATGTCTGGACACCCTTAAAACTGCAAGGGGGAGGTCCAACTTCTCATTGAGGACAAGATTCCACATCAATCAACAAACTGCCCCACCCGTCTGTCTGTCTGTCTGTCCTTAGGCCTGACATAACATTCCCTTGTACACACCCTTTCATATTATTTTCTAATTCGTTTCTAGTGTTTTGTCTCCGTATTATGTACAAACCATGTTGAATTCACGTGGATTTTTTTCAGTACGAATGGTGAAAACCGGGCAGCCACAGAGCAGTTAAAGACTCTGCATAGCTTTTCAGTTGATGAAATAGACAACAAAATCTTACAAGAAGGATAAGCAGGAGTTTGGCAGGATAAATATTGGTAGTGCTCTGCCTTCACCATATATTCTATTTTGTAACAGAGGTGTAACTTTATTTTTTCATGGGCAGCTGCCTGTTACTCACATGTCGGCTTCTTCCTTTTTTATTCATTTAAGACTTTAATGGCAAACATAAGAAGAAATGACATGTTTTTTCCAAGAGCGACCGTGATGTCACTTTGTGTTAAAAGTACCATCATGGACAAAAGTAACAGCCCTACAGCCACAAAGGGAGGTTTCAGGCAGGTATACTCCACAAATATATGCTAATTTGTCCTGTAAAGATCGTCTGGGAAGAGAATCAAACCTTTCCTCACTGCAGTAAGGCGAACTACTAACCTCACAGGAGTCACCAGAGAACTGAGATGGGCAGGAGCAGTGCTCCACGTTGTTGGCAGGGCCTCCAGTCCCTGATAAGGTGGCCTGTTCTAGGCCCACCTCCCCCAAGCTGAGTCGCTGGCTCTGAGTAAAATAAAAGGCTCGGATCCTCATGCCTGTCAGACCGGACAAGACCATCATGAGTTCCTCTCTGGATACAGGCCTGTTGGTACCTGCATGGCGCCAGTTTCCCTGCAAACAAGAGAAGATGTGGCTAGTAATTTGAGAGATCAACTGATCATCTGTGGAGGGGAAGTTCAGATGGGCATTTCAGTGGACATAATTGGTTATTGCATAAAAATTCAAAAAAGGTTCATATGAAATTAGTACAAATGTACACCCAAAGGGTATATTTTACTCCTTTTGTCTGTTAAAGGAACTGATAAAAGGTGTGGTATGCAACACTATTAAAACAAACATAACCCACAAACTTATGAAGCTGAAAAAATCTTTATTTTTACCTCCAAGAGCTGTACTCTTCCCTGATAGATTTTGTCTGGAAGTGGAACATCTGGCGCCACATGTATCAGGTTCATATCCCGACCCTAGGGGGGAATATAATTAAAAGGATGAAGATTACTGACTATGGAAATATTTCAATAACTAAACAGTCAGGGAGAGAGATGAGAGACTCTACACACAGTCAGCACAATGTCAGGTTGTCTGTCCATCAAAGCCATCCCTTCATCAGGGATCCCAAAGGATTTGGACTGGTAGGTGAGAAAGCCACCGTAGGATGAAACCTAAAAGAGGACATAAGACAATAATTTATCAGCTTTTGAGAGAAAGGTATCACATTGAATAGAAGTCCATCCATCCATCCATTATCAATACCGCTTATTCCCTGATGGGGTCGCGGGGGGAACTGGAGCCTATCCCAGTGGTCAACGGGCGAGAGGCAGGGTACACCCTGGACAGTCCGCCAGTCCATCGCAGGGCCACACACAGGACAAACAAGGACAAACAACCACTCACACTCACATCCACTCCTAAGGGCAATTTCCCCAATCTCCAATTAGCCTAACATGCAGGTTTTTGGACTGTGGGAGGAAGCCGGAGAACCCGGAGAGAACCCACGCAGACACAGGGAGAACATGCAAACTCCACCCAGAAAGGTCCTGGTTCCCCCGGGATTCGAACCCAGAACCCTCTTGCTGGGAGGCGACAGTGCTAACCACCACACCACCGTGCCGCCCCTTGAATAGAAGTCAATGGTCTAATTAATTTAATAGATTGTAGATAGTACTTGTAATTTTTTAAGTATATTGCACCCTATTCTTAGTCAATTTCATTAAATATAAAAAAAGAAAAAACATCTGCATTCTATTTCAGTATTTGTGATGCGGTAATATTTACTGAAAACAGTTTTACAGTTGTTTTACAGTTTTGGCCATGCTGTTTCCCCTCACTGACTCACCCGGTCACCCAAGTAGGACTGTGGTGCCACCCAGTGTAGAGTTTGAACCGAAGGAGGCAGCTCCTGGATGTCTGCCACCACTGTGTTACTGGCTACATTCAGAACAGAGGGAACCTCCTCGTTGTCGGGACTTTCCAAACGCCACCCTCGCATCTCAACAAACTGTTCAAAGGGATAATGTGGCAGTTAAAGTTCAGGATATACTATGCCCAGTAATTAGCAAACTGCATAAAAGCACCAACGACAGTAAAATAAACAGGGTGCTGCACGTTAGAATTTCATACACATAACATTGTAGGTCTGCTTAGCAGCTTTCATTAAACAAACTACATTTCTCTCTCACTTCTAACTTCATTTAGATTAAAAAAACATTATCCAAGGAACACAATTTGGAAAACAAACGGACCTTCCCCCGGCGTTTCCTGGAGCTCTGACACTGTTGAGTGGCTCCGAAACAGAAGCAGCTGGTGCAGCCCAGTGGGTTGGAAGGGTCAAAATAGAAAGAACCTTCCTGACAAGTGTCGCACCTGACGCCATAAACGTTTCTCTGAAATCATGGCAGCAGTGATAAAAAGGGGGTTAAAACTGGAGGGCACAAATAAAACGAGAGGGAGTCGTTTAAACCAGCAGTTTGTTGAGTTGGGGTCACCTTGCAGAGACACCTGCCCGTGTCTGGGTGGCACACATCAGATCTGACCCCACCCTGATTGCAGTCACAAGGCACGCAGTCAGGGAAGCGATAATAACCCACAGCACAGCGGTCACACTGCCGGCCACCGATACGAGGTTTGCAACTGCAGAAAAATACACAAACACACACTATTGTTATTAAAGTGCCGTCACAATATCAAAAACACCCTTAAAAATCTTGTGAAAGTCTATAATGTATAATCTTATACAATCTTATTCTTTGAATTATTGTATTTCTTTACTGGCTCATCCATTCTACTTTTATGTTTATAATACTGACAACAAAAAACATCCTGATTATAAGTGGCACAAGTGAGGAGTATATAATCTTAACAAAAAAAAGAATTTTATATATGTTTTTCAACTTCACAACTTTCTATTTCTGCTGGGATCTGTATCTCCTTGTTTTGGTAGAAGGACCAAATGACAACGAGACTAAACTTCCTTTTGGGTCACGTCATCTGACAAAATCCTCAAACAATTAAATTTCTCTACGATCTTTGCACAGCACAGATCAAAGCGGAAAAGGATACAATTGACAAAAAAATTAGGCCTTCTCTCGTTAGCCTTTGCATGCATGTGGCTCAAATACATGCTGTCATCACTGACCAGCGCTGCGATGTTTGGAGCATGTGTTCAGCCCACCTGCACTGGCCGGTGACCCGGTCACACTGAAGCCCCGCATTTGCATCGATGCCGCTGGGCGAGCACCCGCAGTTCTCACAGCCGGCCAAAGGGTGGTAGCTGAAAGTCTGACTCTTACACTGATCACACGATGGTTTGACCGTCTGCGGGGGGCAGATGCAGCGTCCAGTCACTTCATCACACAGCCGCCGGCCACACTCACATGCTACGGACAAAAAGAGCAAGATCACAGAATTCACAACCGGGTTTGAACCTGTACAACAGCAGTCCTGCTGTGTGTATACTGTGTGTATACGGGCTATGTCACATATCCTGCATGCGCATTTTCACTCACGCCTGCAGTAGGGGAACCCGTAGTATCCCGTGGCACATTTTGTGCACTGACGGCCGATGACGTGCTGCTTGCAGGGACACTGCCCTCCAACCGGATCACAGACGGCTCCCACAGAGCCGGACTTGTCACAGTCACAGGGAAGGGCCCCGTCATTATAAGCTGCAACCAGAGATTGGGCTGAGTCTCTGCAGAACTGAGAGGAGGTTCTGGGCCTAAAAAGAAAAAAAAAAGAAGAAAAAAAAATGAAAACAGCTATTTTAAATACAGGTGGGGATTTACCACTAGATGGCGCCATTCACAAAAACGTTTCTTAGCCTTACTGGTTATCAAAAAAAAACTATAAAATAGTTTATCACAATTCATAAAGCAAGTGTGCTGCTTAACTTTCTTCAAAACTATACTACTCTTTATTTTTTATGGACAGCAATCAAGCTTGTATCAGATACCCACAGATACCTACACAATTTCAAATCCTTCTCCTCTGCAATGCTGTATGAAATCTGCTGATTTATCCAGGGGCTTCTCTTTCAGGAGCTCTGGGGTGTAACTTCTATCAGGAACCAACATGATATAATCCTAAACAAAATACAAATCACATCAATGTATATGAACACACAAAGTGCAAAAGATTTCACGTGTTTAAGTTTTTTTAAGAAGGATAAAACATGCTCCATAACATGTGGGCCAAGACCAACTTGTCCCCTGCTTCCAGACTCCAAAGGCTTTGGTTTTACAAAACTATGTGGAGCTGCCAGGTGGAACACAGTAATTTCATTGTTGTTGTCGAGGATATGGCATAACACACAGGAGAGGACCACAGCGTGCCAAGTCCTCAGCCTAAGCAACCTTTGTTAAAACAAAGAGTTCACAAACCTGCAACCTTTATAGAAGAGCCTCAATAACTCATGTATATATATTTTTTTTTTTTCCTTCTTCTTTTTTCTTTTTTTCCATAAAGAATAACTTAAAGTACTTACCAGAATGAGAGTCTTCCTTGGAGGCACAAAAACTGAGATGGTGGGCGGTTGCCAAGAATTCTTTTCAAAGTCAAAGCCAATGCGGTCATCAGCAATGACAACCTCCCTGCAGCCTGAGATTGCTGGACAGAAGGATGCGTTTATCATGCCTATGGGAGAGGGCAGTTTTAAAGTTAGGATTATAGATTACAGTTATCAATCTGCATAGTAAATCAACTATCCATCATTTCCATATAAGGAGTTGTATCTAAGGTCTTGGATCATCCTGCCATGAGGACTTTATCTGACCTTAGGAAGGAATCAGCACCTCACTGCCAGAATAAACTCAAACATATTTAAAGGCAGCCAATACAGTCTTTAAATCAGTTTGATCAAACTGCAACTTTCTCCTACGCGCTCACCGTTCCACGTACGCCCTGCGTCTATTCGAACATCCACAGGGAAGGAGACATGTTCAGGCTGGCGGTAGTGGACCACAACCACATACCTGCCTGGAAGTGGAACCGCTGGGGTGAAACTGATCTCAGTCTAGGAGGCAGAAAAGGGGAAAAACGTGTTTTAATTCTGGTGAAACTGAACAAGAACGCTCTAACAACTTCTGACCAAACGGCCCCCGCACAGGCTTGAGCTAAAAAGGGATGAAGTATGGCGTTTACACGGATACCTGAGGGAATTTAAGCAGCGTCCCATCACTCTGAGGCTCATGGACAGAGAACAGCCCAGACTGCCGCCTTTGCCTCCAATCCTCAGTGTCGCCTCGTCTGAGAGCAGCTGCCACTGTAGACATCAGCTGCCCATCACGGGCCGCATTCAGAACAAAGGCTGTGGAGGGCTTGCTGAACTGCTGTGGAACGCAGTTTCGACTACACACATCAAAGAAAAAAAAGTCTGTTACTTGAAGGCTTCACAGTGCTAGTTTGGACAAGGAATGACAGCAGCAAATTACATGTTTTAATTGTATAAAATCGAGATTACATATAATCTCTATAGTATGTTGCCCTTGTTGATTAGTCAATGGTGTGAAGGGAGGTTAAATGACAGTGTCAGGTAAGAAAAGTCCTTTGGAATTTTATATAGTCCTTTACAATCATTTTATGATGAAGCTAAGGTAGTCACTCTTCATTTGTTATATGTAAAAAAATGTAAATATATGTATGTGTTTGTAATCATAATGTGTTTTACATAGAAATAGAAAAAGAAATAGAAATAATACTATGTTTCAGCCGGTCATTCATTTACACATTTTTCATGCTCTACTCTGTTCACACTGAGTGACAGTTGATGAGAGAGCTGCAGCAGGACAGCAATAAAAATGCTGTAAGCTGCTTATTAGGTGAAAAATGGGAGTAAATGTAGTCTGACAGGCAAAGTTTGACCCTATGTTCAGCCTCAGGTAAGTTACCCGGTCCAGCTGGGGGAATGCATGTGAGATGGAAAACAGATGTGTGTCTCATTCTCAGGTCTAATCTAGCATCTCTCATCATCTAAATAGCAGGTTACATTCAGATGCCACAAAGGTTGACCCAGACTTTTCAGTTAGCCCCAGAGTTTCCATGGTAGTGCTTTTTATACCCATTTGGTTTCACGTGAATGAATCAGAGATCTGGCACTAAAAATGGCAAATCATTTGAAAAAGATTAAGTCAGTCACTTTTGGGATAATACTTCTTGTGGTGTAAAAAGACTACAAAGTGTGTTCATTTATTCACCTGTCTTGGGTGAAGCGACCATGAGTGGAGACACACAGCACCTTGGGCTCCACGTATTCAGCGGAGTACTCATCGGCGGGCACCGCGTAGACTTTATTCTGCACAGAAAAGGCGTTTTATTCTAAATGTCATGCGTCCGCTTGGGGTAGATACTGAGCTATTCCAAATCCTTTTGTGAAGATAGTTCCCTCACCAGAAAGAATGTATTGGAAGTTTGCAGAATAATGTCAGTCCTGTGAGAAAGCAGCAGCTTTGCCACCTGATTCCTGCCGTCCACTGCCACGCTGCGGCACAAAAAGCTGGACAAAACACACAAAACAGCTAAAAACACAACCTGCTCTCCAGGTTAGAAACAAACGATAGTTAGCAAAACTAGCTCATGAAAACATCTTATACAGCACTCACCTTAGGGCACAGCTGTAAATGTTGGCTCTAGCCATGATCTGGCCATCTGACTGACCACTGATCAGTACGTTTACATTCTGGATGGCGTCAGTTTCACTTGCATACTCCAACACAAGGACATAAAGGCCTGGGTAAGGAACCCGCAGACTGAGTTCCAACTGTGACTACAAAAAACAGAAATGCAGTTCATTATTGTGGCATTTAAAGATTTTGAACATCTTTCAACCATAGCATATCAAAAATCTGATGTAACAATTTTTCTGACCTGGTTTTTATTAAGGAACATGCACAGCTGGAATGAACTTGCTTTTCAAACCATGCAGTGAATCTTTGTAATACTGAACCTGTCTCCCGCTGAGGTAGGCCATGTATGGGTGATCTGGGGTGGGACGCCGCTCAGCAGCCTGCCTCCTTCTCTGCCGTCTCTGGGTGGCGAGGCGTCCTTGCAAGCCCAGCACGGAGCTGAAGCCATCCATGGCCACATGCTTAAACAGCAGGCAGCTGTATGGGGCACAAACGGATCAAATTGATTCACCACACCACCGGTAAGAAAATGTCAGCATGCATGAAGAAGGAAAAAGGGAATAAAGGAGAGAGCTTTACTTTGCATCCTTGTTTGTGGTGGGCAAGTATGTGCAGGGCTCAGTAATCTTTTCCTGAAGCAGAGAAGGCTCGTAGTAATCCCTGGGCAGCAGCACTAAATAGTCCTAATGCGGGAGATTGAGAAATTTAATGAAGTGAAATACTCCTTAAAAATCTGCCTTCTCTATCTCAAAAGTATCAACAAATTTGAATGTTTTCAGTTCTATACCCAGGCATTGCATTTAGAATTCAACAATCAAAGCATGTAAAATGAGACACTGCAAAGTGTGAAATCAAGTTTCTAATTTTTAAGTAATTTTAACCTAAATTACACATCATTTCCTTCTTAAAATTCTCACCAGGAGAACTCCCTCAGCCTTTATGTGAATGATCCATTTCCCAGGATTCAATTCAAATGGCTCAGCAAAGCCCTCCCCAGGGACAGTGAGGAAGGACGGACTGGGACTTGGAGGAAAAAATATTTCTTTGCTCTGATCTGTCCCTGCAGAAATGAAGCACAGACGACTGTAAAAGCATGCACAACGAACTCAGCATTCACATACGTCATGCACCAGCAAAAAATAATGTAACGAGGGAAATGTTTTGATGATGGGTTAGATTTGACAGTTTGAGGGTGAAATGATGGTGTCAGAGGCATCCTTACCCGCAGTGCCTCTGGTATTTGCAGCCCTGATGCTACCAGTCACACTGATGCTGTTGGGGTTAATGAACCGCAGAACCACACGGAACAAGCTCTGCCTCCCATCTCGTGGATCAACATGCACTGTTACTCTGACTTCGTTCTGTAGGGAGGACAGTTACTAACTGACTGCAAAAGGCACGGGTTTGAGTAGACCATGAGGGAGGAGTGATGTTAAATGGAGAAACGGTGTGCAGCGGGTGGAGACACCGAGCGAACAGAGCAGGTTAATCAACACGGCGAGCGAGGTGAGGAGAGTAAAAAATAGAGCAAGAGCAAGGCGAGCCCTTCACTTACAGTCACAGCAAGACTGAGAGTCAGCTTCATCCACCACCAAGATCCATGCTCTCACTCGTGCCCCCCCCTTTTGCTGGGGGGAGGAGTAACGCAAAACAAAATGGAAAGGTCCGGCAAAGCCAAGGCTAAGCGTGAGGATCACCTCTGGCTGAAGATAGAGAGGGTTAGTCCTAACAGAGATGGTGTCCACATTCTTATATCTGATGAAATAACAGGATGCCGTGTGCTTTAAGGAGCATTTGTGCGGAGGCAAAAGCAACAGATGATCAATGTAGCTTCAGAGTAGATTGAGAAAAGAAAGCAAAGGGCCACAGCAGTGCCAGGAATTTTTTTAGAATAAACCATACTGTAACAATGTATTTCCAAAGGTACTAACGTGAAAAGACAAACCTGTGCAGGGGACATTATGGCATAACCTCTCCAGCTGAATTCTGGGAATTCCTCTGAGTCATAACCAAACCGCACCGGTCTGGATTGAGGTGTTGTACCGTCCTCTACTTCAAACTTCAGCTGATGCAGACTGGGGAGGTAGAATCCAGGTGCTGGCCTATTGAGAGCCAGAGTTGTGATGCGTTTTATATTCATATTACAGTTCATGGGGAAAAGAACGTCAGAAACTACATCTTACTCTGTGCATCTACGGCCAACAATATTTTTCCGACACAAACACTGTCCTGTAATCTCATCACAGGCCACGCCGATGGCACTTCCAACATCACACCGACAGCCTGGAAAGAACAGCAGAGATTAAATAAAGTTAATAAAGACTATCTTAACACCAGGCCGAAAGCAGAATTTGTTTCAAAATGTGTTCTTTCGCTCTCTGTCTTTTTTTATTCGTATCTTTATGGATCTGTATGGAATTAATCCAAAACGTCACAAATTCATGAGGGATCACTGTCTCTGAATTTAGTTATGTCGTCTAATTACATAGACAAAAACCATGCTAAACTTATCCCAGTCCTCGATGGAAAATGTCATGGGGACAAAGAGACCTGTGATGAAGAATTAGTTGGGACCTTGGGAAACCCAACTGCTGCACTAAAAGAACCCAACCACGCCTTAAAAAGGCTGACATTTGAGTCTGCTGTGGTCAAACCAAAGACAATATGAATAACTTTAGGCAAAGGAGATATGTTACAAAGTTTAAACTACAAAAAGCCACTAGTTACTTTGCGCATGCATTCATGTTTCGTTTTCCAAGCAGGACACAAAGGGGACACTCCGATGAAAAACAAGTAGTCGTAAAACTAATTTAAAATGAGAAGGAAGCCACAAAAGGGAAATAAAAACATTGATGTCAAAGTAAAAATACTGCTAAAATAAATTCTATTTAAAATATATTGATGTGTTAGAGATGCCTCCCACACACAGGCGCTGGGTTGAGGATGTAATGGCACACTTGAAAATTGAGAAGTTGAAACACACAATCGGGGGTTCAACCCAGAGATCCTATAAGGTCTGGCAGCCATTTCTAAATTATTTTAACTTAAAATTCCCTGCTGGACATACTGTTACATAATTGATTCACAGGCTCTGTAACTCTTTAACTTGTCAGGTTTTTTTTTGTTTGTTTTATTTTATTTTATTTTATTTTTTGTGTGTGTGTTATTATTGTCACTTTATAATTCTGTATGTTGGGGTTGCTGTTAGGGGACTTGTTCATTGTTTCATAAGTGCAAAACCCAATAAAAATATTTGAATAATAAAATATATTGATGTACATCAATCTTGTAAAGAAACCAGTGTGCATTATTACGAGTGTTATAGAAATCCAATGAAAGAAAATGAGGGCAGTGCTGTCTCTTTGGATTTGGCAAAGGAGGATCTAGTGTCTCCTTTGCTTAAAAAAATAAATAAAAGAACCAGTGAAGTTTCTTTCTTTTGCATTCAGAGAACTTGACCAGCTTTTATCAGAGCTGCCACTTAGATACTTCTGGGTCATTTCACCTAGTTAGAAACTTTCCTCCTCGAAAAGAACAGATCAATTTGACCAGACCCCTTTTTAAGCAGTGACCCCATTTCACTTCTGCCAGCAAGATTTGTTGTGTCTCATACAATATTAGAGCTTTTATTTAAATTAGAAAGGAGAAACTGTCCTAATTTTCACCACAGTTAAAAAAAAAAAGTCTTGATTGCAGCCTTTCTTGAAATGGTTCCATCTCAACATATGTCAGACAGAACAAAGAATCTCATACCTTGACAGCCAAAATAATCCTTTTTCTGCAGCAGGAAGTATCCATTTTTGCAGGAGTTACATGTATGGCCGCACACATTGGGCTTGCAGTAACACTGTCCTCCTCTCTAAACAAAAGAAGACCCAGCAAAGAGTGACAAATGTGAGGCTTAATGCAACCAAAACTCCATTCCCCAAAAAACTGTTGACATGAACAGTGTGGTTAGACATTATTTAAAATACTCACCTGTTCACATTCTCCAACTCCACTTAGTGTTCCTTTCAGATCACACTGACACTCTGGTATGAAAGAAAACAGAGAGAGGACAGGTTATGTGACGGTAACTGGGGGTCTGCAGTGAATGGTCTCTGATTACAGAGTTTTGCAACATCATTGGGTGAAACAGAATTACACAAAACCTCCCAATCTTCAGAGATCTGCACATGAAAAGGTCCAAAGAAATCTTTAGAGCCACAGCTTCTTATACACCATTAAAAACAAAATTCCCTGAATGTTCAGCCACAGTAAACCAGAGGCATTCTTGAGATATTAAAAGCCCTTTTCCTGTTCTTTTGTCTCCAGGCAGCATGGCAGTGACAACATTCTTCTTGCAAGAGAGCAGAACTGTAATATAAGACAGATAACTGTTGAAAGCCAGATGTTATCTATATAATGGGAGCAACCTTATTATAAACTATTGTACCTTGATATAGACTAGGTAAACACTCTGCAGGACTAATAAATGTCATAAATGTCTTTTAACATTGACGCATAGGATTATTACTGTGTGGTAAATCAGGAAAATTCTACACTGAAAGCTAAGAAAACTATGGAATATGCCAGTGTGATGTGTTCTTTATGCCCCCCCTTGAGCACCAGGAAGCCCAATTCAGACCTGTTGAAAGGGGTTTGTTGACATATTTTCCGGGTAAAAAGGAACTAGACCCATATCAGTCAAGTCAGACTGCTTCTGGAACTTTACCATTCTTAAAAATCAGATGAGAAATCAGAAATAATACTACTTGAGGAAAAGGTTTTAGGCCCGGGGATTTTTTTTTGTCACATGAGTCCAGCTAAGCCTTCACATATTTTTTTAGATTAATCATAAAATGATAGTAGGTATAGTGTTCCTGCTTCCTGTAGGTTAATATGAACCTACCTATGCAGCCATGGGGGTTGTCTGCAGCCAGATTCCAGTAAAGAGGTTTGCACCTGTCACACAGGGTTCCTTCTACATTTGGGAGGCAGCGGCAGGAGCCCTGAAACAACAGATAAGGAGTGTCAGAACTGTTCAGACTGGTATATTTTACTGAAAGCCTGGTTCACAATCAGGCAGATCAAACCACGGCTGAGTGCCTGCATATTGTGCCTCTCAGCAAGAACATATGACTGAAAGTTGGCAGCTTTCTTTCTATGTGCCCAGTTTAAAGGCAGGCACACTTGAATATCTGAGCTGTAAAGCCATTATTGTTTCTTCCTCTTACAAATGAAAGGAAGTCTCTTTTCCTTTTACAATTACCTTTTTTAAATTTCATGGGAAAGGCCCTTCCTTGTTGGACAGTTTAATATGCAAGCACGAGCTCAGCTGTGCTATCAGTGGTGAGGATGTTATTCCAAATGGATACACATCCAGATTAGAGAGTAATAATCACCTTTTTCCTATCAATTCTCATAGAAACTCAAGCAATAAGCACCTGTGACAAAAAGATTAAGATTATAGTATGCAGTTTACCGTTTGAGGATGAGAGACCTCCGTTCCTGCTATGCTGCACTTAGTAATTGAGGCTGAAAAGGAACAATGCACAAAACAATGTCAAAGAGATCAATGTAGTAGAATAGCTGCAAAACATTTAAAAGTAGAAAAAAACTTTAGGAAATGCTAAAAAATGCTTTAACAATAACCATTTAGAGCTTAAACATCAAAATGGGAGTGCCATTCTTAAACTGTGCTGATCTACCAACGACAGTGCAGCCACTTCATTTCAGTAAAGACCAGAGGAGTCTACAAGAACAGAGCAATTGAGCTGAAATCAAGCATATCTGTTGATGATCAGAAATGACACTGATGTATTTTTGGTAACAAAACAAATGCACAAATAGTAACAATACCGCTAAGCATTGATCTGATTATCTGTTCAGGTAAAATACTTCAGATAAACTTAGTAAAAGAAAGATCAATTCAAAAGAACACAGACCAATTAATCAAAGCACAAACCATGAGGAACCACAAAAAAAACAAGTGCAGAAGTTTCCATGATTCATTGGCTTCCTTCTATCAGTTCTAAATAACATGGCTAGGCAATCAATTGAAATGTGTCATAATGTTTACAGAAAGCATTTCAAATAACTTCATACAAATGGAAGCTAACATAAGCCTTTCTCAGCACAGCTGGTCTCTGCCTCTAGCTCTTTTTCAATGGTAAATCACTGAGTTCTGCACGGTGCATCTGAAACTGGGGGGAAATGCATGTGTAACAAGGCCAGGTAAACAAGCTTGCCTTCCATTCACTAAATTGGTTGGTAAATACCAAATTTTAAGATTTTATGCCAAATCGCCCAAAGTGACAGGCACAAAAAATTGGTAAATATGTGGTCTGTTCTGTCCCAACATTAGAGCTTTTGTGAGTTTAATTTCCTCTATAACGTACCAGAACACTGGGGGAACCTCTGCCCAGAGGCACAGCGGTCACACTGCTGGCCCACCACACCTGGGAGACACAGGCACTGACCCGATACTGGGTTACACGTTGTCCCATAAGAGCCCTCTTGTGAACACTGGCAGACTGAGAACAGAAAACAAACAAAAGCCATAAACTATAGCATTGCCATCAAATTGCATGAGTGGTTCTGATATGTAAAACGGTTTTAGGAAGAACTCTTGAGATTAACCCGTTTATTTTTAAAATCCCATTTCCTTAAGACATTCCCAAAGGCCTATTCTTGGCAAGTCTAAACACATCGCATCTTCTTGTTCTTTTTACTGTCATACTGATTTTTTTTTTGCTCCAATGTCATGAGAAGAGGCCACAGAGGAATCGGTGCAACCATAAGCAACATTTCATTTCTCTATAGGGATTAAACCCACTCACCAGCACAGTCCGGATAGCCGTAGTAACCTGGTGCACATTCATCACACTCCTGTCCGTGGAAGTTAGGGAGGCAAACACACTGACCGTTTGGACCGCACACATCAGCCGCCACGCCAACCCCATCACACCGACAGGCTGAAGGAAAAGTACAGGAAATCCTCAGTTAAACTAAAAATCATTCATTTAAAGCTTATAGCATCATTCAACTGTAAACCATTTGAATCTTAGTGTCACATTCAAAGATTTGTTGCTTGGTGTTTTTCTCAAAAAAATCAGTCTGACCAAACCTACCTTTTTTGGTTTATAGCTCATATTCACAAAAGTATTGATCAGATAACAAAGAATGGATATTGTTTAAACGCACATGTTTCAGTTGTGCTTAATTCAAAACCTTTTCTTATTCAGTTTCACCTGGTTTTGCTTATTTCCCACTTTGTGATTCCCTGATTGCGACCTCTTTTAAAATAAAAGGTAAGTTTCTTAACCAATCAGGTTTTAATGTCAACAGTCCTGTGGGTATGCAGGGTTTGTCTCACCCTGGCAGTTTGGGAAGGAGTGGTATCCCTGTCGACAGTGGTCACACTGCTCCCCCTCCACACCCTGTCGGCACAGGCAGCGGCCTGTAGAGTCACAGACCCCATGCTCCGTTCCTCTGTAGTCACAAACGCACGCTGCAAACAAACACATGCAAAACATTTCATTATAACACTGAAAGCAAACGAGTCAGATTCAGACAAACAGAAAAGTTACATGATTGACACTTTCTTTGCTCCAGTGTGTTAACGCAGCACAAAAAATACCTTAGCCCAGCAGAGCTGATTTTACTGTTGCACACAGCGGTACCACTACACAGGTCTTATCAAGCCTCACCTGGTATTGGTATGTTAATAGACTTGGCACCGGAGAGACACTAATATGCTTTTCTCTGCCTCTATAAAGAAAAAGCTGTAAAATTGTCTCATAAAAGGATTTCAAATGATAAGCCTTCTCAACCTGCAAACAAAAATGAAGGAAAAGTTCCTGAGCAGAAATGCAACGGGCATTTTCTGTAATGAATTCCATTACAGAAAATGATTAAGGTCAAAGGTCTTGGTTTAAACAGAAATGGCATATCACTAATAATGTGTTTTCCAGCCAGAGAAGGGGAATTTACAACAGGGGCCTTAACTAATATTAGCCTGCCAAGTTCTCAGCGAACAGTCCCAGCTGACCAATACTGTCACAAGTGGACAGAGAACACTTGAGCTTAAATCCCCACTGATGGAACAGAGACCATCGGACTGTTATGCTGAAACAACTGCATGTTATCTGCTGTCACTGTGCATTCTCATGCATTATCCCCGTACTGCAACCCGCCAATGAAACCCAAACATAACAGACGCCAGGTTTTACAAGGCATTTTACCATGACCTCACACATATATGCATTAATCTTACAGGCGACAGACCTTCAGTACGTTCTTAACGTTTAACCCAACAGCAAAGACAGTCAGACTCAGTGGTACCTCACATGGTCCTCTACAGCCTTTTTTAGCAGTCTGACTGCTCTTAAGTAAATGTAAGGTAAATGAAACAATATAAAAAAAGCTTTCCCATAGGGCACAATATCAACAGAATTCATATAGATACAGGAAATTCTAATGAGAACCAGCAATAAGAACAGTTAATGTTGCACAAAGATGAAAAGGCTTTATCTTAGGTCCAACCACACTCACGTTGACATTGGGGTGTGTTGAAGTAGCCCAAGGGGCAGAGGGTGGGCCCTATACAGACAGAAAGAGACAGAGGGAAAAAATCATTCCCGTTTAAACATACCTCTCAAGCTAAGTCGTTGTATGACATACTACAAAACTTTGTTTATTGAACTCACCGACAATAGGACCTGCAGGAGACTTGGTTGTTGCCGGGTTCACAGGGTAACCTGATTGCAAAACAAAGTTACAAAAGTGAAGACAACCAGTCATAGGAAATTGCAATTAAGCAAAACATGTTAACATCAAGTACAGCAGGGGAGAACCGCAAGAATCAAATCATCTTTTCAAGTCATATGTGAGCATTGAAAAGTATGCCTCTTCTGCATAAGATTGTGATGATAGTGCAGCCTTTATGCTCCAAATCTGTAGCATCGACTGAAAGCAGGTTTTATGGTTAACATTAGACTCGTTTCTAGATTTTTTGGAGCAGGACTTTAATCAACCAATGCGGAGACAGCAGAGTGGACAGAAAGAGAAAGGACAGGGAGCCGTAGAGCTTTTACATGCAGCACCTGATCAAACTGTACAGCTACCCTGTGGCCTCGGACAGCCTTATCATGACTGGTATTGTCAAGACATTTAGATAATCAATAGGGTCTATAATAAACATGGCTCATTATTTTTTTCACACTTTATCTGTTCAAGTTGCACTATATTTTATGATTGTGATATAACTGGTTGCAGTGCATTTGAAGCACAAATGTTTAAAAAAATCTCTTTTGAAATAATTTCATCCAGTTAACAAAGTATTTCTTGAATCTCAAACAGACTCTTAATTAGTGTTGACATGTTCAGTCTTGTTTGTCAGTGCTTACAGACTGGAGATAAGAAGATCCTTAACAGCTCAAGAGTAATAAATCTCCTGCTTATAAATGACAATTAAATTGAGGTGAATGTCAAAAGGAAAAATCGACCTCAAGCAGATCTACATACCTGAGATGTGCTGGGTTTGAAGCATGTGATACTAATGAAAAACAACAACAGTTGCTCTATCTATGCTGATCTAAACCAGACAGTAAGGAAAATTATACCACACATACTTGATGCCACACAGAGAGCTCTTATTCAAGTTAATTAAAAAGTATTGAAATTTCCCAAACCATACTCAGATCACAGCAGTGGCATGAATTTGGGAACAAGCTCATTCAAAGATAAAAAACGGTTTCTCACAGAGTCCTTGGATGACACACCAGAAATAAAGAAAGAGATGAAAGGCTGAGTGGCTTATCTTAACACACATGCAGACTGCTAGGTTTGTGACAGATCAGATAAATGCGATAACAAAGAGACATAATTTCAGCTCCAGTTTGTCTGGATGTAGTTTCCACATGTGGAATGTGGAATAACACGAGTCAGTCCTCTGTGCAGGCTGCTCTGTAGCATTAAAGGCATAGTTCTTTCTGTTATGTTTTATCCTGCAGGGGTTAAATTGACAGAGAGAGACAAAAAAAGGTTGGAAAAGATGAAAATGAAATGACTCCAGCCATCAAAGGGGTTGTTTCCCTTGCCTGTGTGTAACATGAAACACTAAGAATCAGAGCCCCTCATTGTCTGCGAGCCAAGATTTGAGAGTACACTGGTGAGGCAAATTTCAGCCTTTTTATTATTGCTTTTCTTTTTATCTTTCAAAATGGGAACTTACATGCTTGTCTGTCTTTACAAATTCACTACTTTTCAATTTGAGTTCCTAAACCTTTTTTCTTTTGCAGTTTATCAGTAGACATGTAAAAAAAGCGAAATGCTTAAAGTCATAATGAGTAAATATGAATGCTAAATAAGTAAAAAAAATAAACTCACGAATGCACTGCGGGTAATAATAGAATCCGTCAGCACAGCGATCACAGTTTTCTCCCGCATATTGTGGCTTGCAGACACATCTGCCGGACCCCATTTCACAGCCAGCTGTAATCCTCTCGTCACAGCTGCAGGCTGCAGGCAGTGTAAAAAAAAAAAAAAAGAACGATAAGATTATGTTAGAATAATGACAAACAGCATCTAACATGAGTTAGAGCTAACGGTAAAAGTACAAGCAAAATTATTCTCTGCAATGAATACTCAAATAATAATAATAATATATAAACACAACTGCCAGCTACTGCAAAGGTGCCATTGGTTTGTTTAAATGTTCTTTTTATTAAAATCATGTCTTGGCTTCCCTAAATAGTCATACATGTGGGTCATACAAGTGCTCGCCTTGTATAGTACAACTTTTCAAATGAAATTCTTTGATACATATTTGCCCCCAAAAGCAAGACATTTCACAGTGAGACATAGTGTAGGCATAGTGTAGATTCAAAACCATCTGAAGCTACAACCTCAGAAATCTTGTGAATATAATAATATTTATCCATCTATCCATTATCGTTACCGCTTATTCCCTTATAGGAATGTAATTTTGCAAGTGAGGGCAATGTGCGGATATGTACATCAAATCATCTCTACATCACATAGTCATTTATTTAATCAGCGCATATTCAGTACTATAAAACATGCTGTGCAGCAAAAAGATTTGGTTTCTTCCAAAATTGGTCAGATTCAAACACTGTGAGACAGACAACATGGACAATGTTACGTAGAGTAAATGTCCACTACAGAGCTGCAGTTTTTTAGCTACCTGTTGTTACAGTTTGTCTTTTCTTGTTTTGTTTAACGCATCAGAGCCATCAAAGAGCAATGCATTGCATACCATCACAAAAACACGCTCGCACCACACAATTGCACAAACACTGCAATACAACCTATTTCGGTCCCTTCTTCACACTGTTTGTCTCATCATCATGGCAACATGTTTCAATATGTTGGTCTGGATCTATCTCCCAAAACTGACTTGATAATTGGTGCCAAAGTGGGCATTTTCACTCCCATGCGCAGCGGTATGGAAAGAAAAGGTAAGGTAGGAAAACAGACTGAATCACTCAAGCACAAAGAAGAAAACCATCTGAATACAATTCACTCTCAGTTTAATTAAAACTGGAGATTTTAGAGACCCACACAGCGACATACATCTACCGATCTGCTTTTGTCAACCACTTTTCAAATAGGGCATCACTCAGATCCAATTAACCTTTATCAAAACAATCTAAAATGTTCTCTTAGATTTTGTACAACTGAAACTGGACACTGAAAGACAAGGTAGGTCAAAGATAAAAGAGAATATCATACTTACGTATACATCCAGTTGGAGACTCAATAGGCACTCCATAAGGCCTGTAGTAACCTTCCACGCATATGTCACAGTTCACTCCTGCAGTGTTGTGCTGTGGACCAATGTTTAAAAAGAGTAAAGAAGGAATCACACAGTACACTGTCGATCTCTTTTGACCATTTGTACACAGTGGCTTCGAGATCACCATTTCAAACAGTAACGTGGGACGTAGTTACTTTTCCAAAGTAAGATAACATAAGATCCAAGCTGTAGCTTTCAGATGAAAAACATACTGGTGTTCCTCCACCCAAAAGAAAATGCATGGACTGCTTTTCAATGCTGGCTCTATGCTCTGAAGTCAATAAATTGAACTAAACTACTTCATGCGCATCCACAGGTGGTCAAATATTAAACCTAAATACTGGGTTTCAAAACGAATCAATGTGCAGCTTATGAAGAAACATTAACTCAATAGTAGATGTGCTGGATTAACATTACTTTAACCTCTATTTCTACTTTTCAATGAAAGCCGCTTCCCTGATTTCTTTATGAATATTTTCATTTCTCCCTCATTGTGACCTGAAAAATAATCGAAAGTCACAGCATTCATGTCCCTTATGATTGAAACAAGAAAAACATCTGGATACTCAAAAGGCAAAAAGATTTTTTGAGGAGATAAATAACTTGGATATAGCATTTTTCACCTTGAAGACACAACAAAACATAACCTGTCAACGTAACACTTGATACAGTTTGATTTCATTCAGTGACAGCTAGTTTTTATTTGGAATGGCTACAGTAAATTAAGCAAATATTAATATAAGGGTTGTTTTTCGCAAAAAAATGTTTCACACATGCCCTCTGGAGGGCTTTACTGAAAGAGAAACACAATTCTAAGATTTTTCCCCTTTAGGTTTTTTTTAACATTCCCTTTGCCTCTACAAAAACGCATTCACTCACGAGAATCAGTTTGGACTTGATATGCATTTCTTACCTGGCAGTTGATACACACTCCTCCTCCATCGTATCTGCCAAAGGTGTCTAAACTTGCTCCCCTCTTTTCCACTTCTGGGTCGTAATAACAGTCAAAGGCATGGGAGAAACACTGGCAGGCTGAAGTGGAAACCCCCAAAACAAAGACACAGTCAAACACATTCAAAACTTGTCTCTATACTCAGTTAATGAACTGGCTTTAAAAGCTTTAAAATGCTTGTTAAATACTAAAGGGAACTATAAAAGCCAAGATTAACAAACTTGAATATCCTCTTCCTGAATACCTCCCCTGTTTTATACCCAGTGTTTATGAAAGGTTAAGGTGCATTTTAATGGTATGACCACCTCTGATTGGATTAAAGTCTTCTCCCTCATTCGCTCATCATGTTAGTAGTGGCTGCTAAGGGTTTGGATTTCATGACAGTTCCAAGTATTTAGATTCCAGCAATCACAGGCTATGCTGGCTGCCTTGATTGATCGCCATGAGCCTCCACTGTTTAGGCTGGCACAGAAGTGCCCAACAAAGTGGCAGATGAGCTACGTAACAGGACAAAAAGCAGCAATCCCAAAAGCTAGTTGTGCAATTCTGCTCTTCATCACACACCATGTGAGGAATGTCTTCATGACCCTTGGCTGAGGCTAACAACAATACCATATGAGGGCATTCACCACAAGCCTTCGACATCAGAGGCAACAGGACACTTCACTTCCCCGTGGGGGTCAGAAATCAAGGAGCTGGCAGCGTGGGGAGTTGCACGGCGAGGTTTTGTTAACACGTCCAATGAAGCATTATACAAGAGCACTTACGCCGACACTCATTCGGGCTGTCAACAGTTGCGGCACGCCATGGCTTCTGGTTAAAGCCTGGGCAGCAGCGATCACACGATTCCCCGCAAGTGTTATGTTGGCACTCACACGGGAATCTTAAGCAGAGAGATGAGACACTGGAATTTAGTGATTTCTAACAGGTCAAAGGCAACAGTGAAAGGTGACCATCGGTAGCACACATGAGCCGTCATCTTTAAATCCAGAGTTACAGTTCATAATTGAAAATGAATTCCAAAAAGAAAGACTGGGTGTCAAATAACTGATACATTAGTAATAATGCAGATGTGTTATGAATACCCAACATTAGACTTCAATGCAAAAATCTGTTATTTTCCCACTGCTATCTACTAACAAGCCATACAGATGTATCATCCACTGTATATAGCCGTTTTTCTACAGATGCTGTGAACAGAACTGCCCTGTGCTGTGGGCAGGACCTCATGATGTAATGGGGCCTCATTCAGTGCGCAAATACAATGCAATTATACACAACGCAGCGCGAACCATCACTGGCAGTTCCTGTATGTGCCAAGTCAAATAAGTTGAGCTGGAAAAGAGAGAAGGGGAAGATATCCAGCTTTTCATTTATAACACTACATACTGCTGCAAATACTGGCCATAAGCATCCATCCAATCACTGTCAAAATTGTTTGTAAAACTATTTCTTATGATGTAACACGTTACTATTCGTTTTTGGGTTATTGATTTAAATAGATAATTTTACTGTTTGTTCTATTATGGCAAATAAACATTAAATGGTGCAATTTAAAATGTTCTGAAATTACTGGCTTTCCTTCACTTTACTAGAAATATTTCAGTGTTTCTTACTGTGTCTGTATGCTATTTGAGAGACAGATCTTGGTAGCATGTCTTTTGTTTTTATGCTCTTTTCAAAAAAAGAATGACACCCACTTTCCAAAAAGATCACAAAACTCTGTCAAATAAATAAGATGAGAAATTGAAATTACTTCTGAAAATCTAATGAAAAATCCTCCAACCAAATGATGTCAAACATAGTGTCAGATGTTTGTAGCCCTGCTAGAAAGAATAAAGAGCATCACTGACCTATTCGGGTTGTCTGGGTTGTGCCCTCTGCCACACACCTGGGCGTGCCCATGGCATACGCAGCGTCCCCCGATGCTGATGTCTTTGATACTATAGTAATACTGTAGGCACACAAACAAAATGTCAGCACCAGCACAACTTCAAAGTAGTAGCTTATCAAAGACATCATCGACGGCAGGAGAAAATGTCTGGCCCCGCGAGGCAGCAAAGATGAGTCAGACAAAACAAACTTAAATTATACCCCAGCAGCTAAATGTCTTTCAGGTTAATCAGGGAATTTTATTTTAAAAAATAAAGAGGCTAAGATAGATTTTTGTCTTCAACACCCCTTTTGTTGTGTGTAGTTGCAGTAGCGTCTTGAAATATACTCAGACCTAAAGTGGCACACAGTAAAAAGGGCAGAAATAGGGTTTGTAGAGTTGTAAAAACCTGGAAACTCTATGTCAGTATTTGACATGACCACCATTCATCTTTAACACAGAGTCAACAAATATTCTTAGACTAACTTTCTTGTTATTTCTTTAAATATTTGTCAACAATAGTTCTCCAAACTTCTGGAAGGAGACTGAAAGGCACGTCTTTGGATGTTGGTAGACTTTTGTTGTCCATGAAGTTGGTCCCAAAGTGCTTCCATAATTTTGAGATCTAAAGTTTGGAGTGGATGTCATTTGGCATTACTCAGCCTTTTTTCCCTGGTTCCCTTACTTATAATGGCTTCTTCAAAGCCCCTCTTCCATGGAGAACATTTCCCAGCAGGTGAATAGGCTGAAGGTCTAGATGCAACTCTCAGGGACTGTGTGAGGTCTTTGTAGGATTGTTTTTATATTTTCTAAGGGCATCACTTTCAGATAGTGTTAATTTGCAGTAGATTGCATTCAAGGCTTGTTATTAATTTTGTCCTTCATTTATCGACCTTGCTTTTATCTTCAACTGTTCACTACAGTGATATTTGATATGTTTTTTAACCGATATCTCTTTGGTAATCACCTTGTTGGTACAGAAATAATGCGTTATGTTTAGCATTTTTTATGGAAATTAGAATAAATTGTGTATCCTGACCACTTTATTACTTGTATCTATTAGCATCATTATTCATTCAAATATGAGAAGCAAATCAGGCACCTTGTGGCAAAATATGAATAATTAGGGTTGATTGAAGACTTCTGCACAATACCATATGTCAGCAGGGATGTCTTCAAGAGTTCTACTTTAAAACAGAGTCTAAAACAGCTTATCTTCTTAACAAATTATATGCAGGGTTAAAGAGAGGTGCCGTTTCTCACACCTGCTGCCTGCAGAAGCTGTTCAAACCAGTCCCCAGCAAAGGAATTTCCAAGCCAGCTGGACAGACCAATCTGACATTAGCTCTTCAAAATGATGAATGTATAAGCAGAGTACTGTGTTTGTGTCAGCAAAAAAAAAGAACCTGGCAGATAGCAGGTGCGAAACAGTGCGTTTGGCATGCCCAAATGGGAAACGAGAGTGTGCCAGCACGACACCTCGGTGTGAGGTTGTAGAGTTTGTGTCTCACCCTGCGTGTGACAGTGGGATCTTTTTGGGCCTTGGAGATCAGGTGGCCGAGCAGGGTGCTTGTGCGGAGGAAGCGCAGACGGATGTTTGTAGCCTTTGTAAACTCCTGCAGGACTGGTGAATAGGTAAAGTTTTTCGAGCCCGGCCGACCGTTGATCAAAGAAACCACAATCTGGGGAGCGCAAAGTTTAAAATGAGAAACTTGTCTTGTATTTCAATGTGTCAATTTGTTATTTTCTGCCATATTTTGTGGTGTTAAACAATATTTCACCTCTCCGTTCTCCAAAGGGATGATCCGTGAGTATTCAGTAGTGCAGAGCTGGTCATCATCATTTAAAACACGGACATTGGGCTGCTTCCTAAACCTTTCAATACATTCACGCTTCGAATCTGACAACGAAATGAAAGAATTGAAATTATATTGCTAACAATTGCACCTTACATCTATCTCTGTCAATAAAATTTGTGATCAGGAAGGTTTCTATCCAGCAACCACAAGGAATTTAGCTATGATCATGGTTGCAGCTTGTCAAGTTAATGGTCTCTTTGTTCGCTGCTTCATTTATCAGATTTCTTGGCACACATTGCAATCTATCTCTAAGCCTCAACAGAAAATGTTGAGTTTTTTTTTCACAATGTGCTCACTACAAAATGCAGTGGGGAAAAGAACACAGCAGAGCTGCACACACATATCAAAGATTAAGGGGATTCCCTTTGGAATGTGTGGACTTTCAGCTGACTCACACATATATGAAAATGAGTCGCGCTTAAGGGTCGCTCCGAATTTTGTATAGAGGGATCAAAATAAGGCTTTTTAGGAAAATACAATATGCCAAACATATAGCAACAACTAGAAATTGTCCTCATTCTGAATAAATACAGTTTTCTTACTTTCTGAGTAGAAACATTGCCATTTTGTGACTGTGTAAACACATCTAGGTCCCCACAACAACGGTAGAACATGGACCACACACAAACACACTCATTTCCTGGTTAAATTGTCTTAAGCAGGTTAATCAGTTTTCAGGGATTAAACAAACACAGGTAAGCATGCTTAATAGCTCTGGGGCTTTTCATTGCAGACTGATTAAGCTTCCATGGCAGGAAAGAACTGGATATCATTAATAAAAACTGCACTCTATTTGTGAGAGCTTTTAAAGGATTTAATATAAATATATATGTTAGATATTCAGATGCCTTTAGCAATAATGGTAACATCTGAGCTTTCGTCAACAATGTATACAGCAAAAAAAAAGATTACATCTGCAAGATATTCTTCGTTTAAACATGACCTCTAACCAGGGGCTTTAAAAACTGAGTTAGAAGATTTTCTCATCAGATGACAAACAAGATATAGCTGATATTTCCAAGTGTTGTAAGACTTGTTAATAAAAGTGTAAACGGTCGAATTCTGTTACACACATTCAACTCAGCAGCTGAAACTAGTCATTTACACATAAGAACTGTAGCAGTGAGCAGGAAATGAATACTTTCCAATGGATAACAACAAAAGTGAAACAGTAGAAATACAGCAACTTACAGAAATACAGTAAACTTACGTGCAAAGTACTGCCAGGGGGTGAATGTCCTCCCGTAGTCTGCAGAGCGCTCCAGCACCCACAGGTCAGGACGGGGTGAGTTAGCAAACTTAATAAGGACATAGGCAACGTGGAAGAGCTGAAGATCAGAGCAAAAAGAGCTGGGTAAAAAAATGTCGGCAAAACGTTGCACTTTCATCTGAAGGCCTGACTCAGGAGTCTGTTGACTACAGCTTGGCACCGGGCTCATGCAGTGATTTTACTTTCTTGTGAACATCTGTGCATCTGAACATCGTTACATGTTTATCATGGTCATCACAGAACTAATGACACACTGAGTCAGCTTCCTGTTTTGAGTTTCTTTGTATCGTGACTTCATCAGAATATGTGTTGCCACTGTGTGAATAAAACTGCTGTAGGTGCAGCACGGTTAGTGAAAAGACACCAGCTAAGCCCACATGGTCCCTGTTTGTTCTCTGAACGCTTTATCTCTTCCTCCCATCAGACTGCAGAATCCATACAAGGACACAAAATGATGTCAATGATTGTTTCTGTCAGAGTCCCGATGCTCAGTGGAGAACATTTCCTTTTCACCTCATCAACATCATTATCAAGCCCTGAAAGCAAGGACTTTGGCTTGATTGAGCATTGTAGCACAGAAAGGTCATTTGTGAGACTCAAAGCTCTTTTTGTTCGATCAGCCATGACTTGGACTTGACTTGGAATTTAAACCCTATGACGCCTACCTACATGAGACACCTGCAGTGTCAACAAAGGCCTCACCTACACCCGACCACACCCCTGTCACGTTTTTGTACTGCTGAAATGCAGTTTAACTAAACATTCTCTAACACTCCAAAGACACATTTGCCGTGGCTGAAATACAGAGGTAGCATGCACTCAACCTAGCATACCTGCTTTAGGATTAAACGACGAAAAAGAGGACTTTTGCTTAAATGTTTTAGACTCCCTTAATAAAGGATTTTTCTACTTCTCTCCGTCTCCCTTCATAAGGATGAAGGCAGGCCCGCACTCGTCTAGCATCCCTCAGCACCTAGATGAAAAGCCCAGCGGGCTTTTGAAATATTCAGCTCGCCGTCTCTCCTCGCACGAGGCAAGGAGCTGTGTTAACATATCAAAGCCACGCTAAGCAGGGCAAATTTAGTGGCCATGGAGACACTGCGTCAAAGGGAAGCCACGATTCTGAACTCCTCCCCCATCCCTCAATTTCAAGTTGCTCTTCTGCTGATAGATTGTGAGAGAGTTCAAGGGTCAACTAAAGGAACTGTCAGACCCTGTTTTCTGCAGACCGATGACAAACCCTAAAAACTAACAAAAGGAGCAAGTCACAAATCAGGAATAGTCCTTGACTCGGGCATCCTTTAATCAGTGTTGGCTCTGCGGAAGACAGCCGGAGAAAAAGTAAATAAAGCAGCTAAAAATGCCTCTTCTTGCCCTCAGCTCGGGGATGGGGTGTGTCTTGAAATTAATCAGAGAACGCTTCCACCCACTTGCAACAGGATGCCCAGAAAAACAAAAAAAAACAAAAAAGATGAATGGATCACACAAAAAAGGCACGCTGTCATCTAATAATAGAAACATGGAGCTGTCTACAATCAATTTGTAGACAGCGTACTGCTGAGGACCAGGAGGAGGTTTAGTTCACACGGGCTGCCGGGACATGAGGGAGGACTCATGGGTTTTGGGGGGGTGCAGGAGGGTGAGATGGGAAGAGGGAAAAACGAGTAAGAGTGGCAAGAGACGTGCTGGCTGGCATGCAGGCCCGTCTAAAAATTCCAGACATAGCGCCACATTCCCCCCTCTGTCCCGATGCCCCCAAAGCAGAGCTGGTAGCTGCTTTCAGGAACCCATCACTTACAGTAGTGACAACCTTCTCTGCCACTTATTGTCAGAAAAGACCAAACTAAAAGAAGCCAGAAAAAGCTGGTGGGTTTAGATGGCTGATTTCACGTCAGCTTGCTCATTTTGTTTCTGCATCACTAGCTAACTGGGGACTGCTTGTGTCATTCGGCCATAATTGTTTCTGCCCGTCTTTTCAACATGAATAATTGTATACAAGTGAAACAGTAAACAGAGTTGGGTATTTTTGCACTGCTGCCAAACGTAAGCCTTACATCCAATTACGAAAGCATTTCAACCGTTATGTTCATGTGAGCTCATGCTCAAAATACACTGAACCCAAAGACAGACCTGCTGTGGAAGAATCTCAGTTTTTGATGGCTGACATCAAGAGTGTCAACGGTTTTCATCTTAATTTGGTTGTCTTTTAACGCTTAACTAAAATAGGTTGTAGCTGACTCCTGCTCGAATGTATCCATTCTGTAATTGAGATTGATAATATTTTCAAACTTTAGATCATTCTTTGAAGACATGTCCTGTGGTACGTAAAGATGTCTTGATTCCAAGTTGGCAAGAATAATCTCCATAAACAAAGCCTGTCAGAGGCAGACAGTCTAATCTTGGAAGAGGAAGACCTGTTCAAGCAAGGCTTTGCTGTTTCTCCAATTATGTCCTGCCAAGCTAAACACACACTCCTAAAATACATCCAGATCCTTTGTATTGTTTGGATGGAGGATGAAATATCGTGATTGCATGCCATGCACATGAGCAGAGGATTTCAGCTGTGTACAACATTCTGACAAGCATCTGGCTAATTGACTTGGAATAACACTTCAGCAGAGCCATCCTCTGCCTGTGCAGCTTCAAGCCTTCAGCAGGAGTGTCATAGATGAGCCTTTAACCTGAGGGGGGGGGGGGGGGTCTATCCGCAAGGTCATTGGCTGAGTTGTGGCAGATATTGCCTTTCATCACTTATTTGAAATCCAGATCTTGATATCCTATATCACACATTCAAGGGTACAATATAACCATCTGTCCATTTGCTATGTTCGCTAGTTCCAAGCAGGGTCACAGTGAGGGTCTATCCCAGCTGTCCAGAGGCGAGGTACACCATGGACAGGTCGTCATCGCAGATACCAGTGAGACACACCCAGGCTCACTCATATGGTCAGTTTGGAGCCATCAATAGCATGTTTTGGAAAAACCGGTGAGCCCTGAGGCATCTCATGCAAACTTTACACAGAAAGCCGGGATTCCAAACGCCTGCTGTGGGGTGATGGTGCTAACCACCACACCACTGCGCAGCCCTACTAAACAACCAGATCTGAAAATACTTATTTTCTATCACACCAGGGGAAAAGATCCAGCTTTGTCCCTCAAAGCCAAACAGGATAGTAACATTTGTCCCATTTGTCACTCCACTTATTGGAAAGGTCAAATAGATTTTGAGAAAAACACACTGCTATTCCTTTACTTGTCAATTTCGAGGATGCCAGACCTGATAATTGAGCGTGAATCATTACATTTAGATGACTGACTCCAGGCTGTGCATGTGCAGGACTGTTCAAGCATGCTAAATGTACACCCGTTAGTATGTTTTGTTCCAACTGTCATGACTCATGAGGGTTTTTTAAACTGCTAATAGTTCATCATAAAGCACCACAAAGCCAAATCTTCTATCCGTCTCCCTCTCGTGAATTAATCTAATGAAAGAGACACAAAAAAGTTCTGATTGGGTGACTATTTGTCTGTGACTTTGGCCATAAGGACGTGAAGATATAAACTCTTGTTTCTATTACTATTTACACCACAATGTTTTGCGACCTCAGGTTTTTAACCACAGTTCTTTAGCCTTTTTGAACCGCAAACACAGTATGCTGTGGTTTTAAAAAAAAGTTTTGTTCCGTGTAGGATTTTCGTTCAATAATTTATTGTCCCGATTTGTCATATTTTTCCTCTTATTATGCACCAACGTTGAAATCACCAGAGGTCTGTATGCAACCAGGTTAACCCCTGGTCTCTTACCTCAGTGTTTGGTGAAATAAACGTATAATAAGTTACTTACAATAATTGTATCAAGAAAGAATAACTTTTGAGTGTTTATTCTAGAGGCCCTGAAATGAAAACATCATGAGGAAGGACTCTGAGGGTTTTAGATATCGCAAAGCCATAATAAATAAAAACAGTGGCACCAGTTATCTTCGCTGAGACAATGATTAAACTTTCCTAATGTACTGTGAGACATTTTTTACACTGAACAACACAAACAACATACACAGATAAATCCAAAATCAAAGGGTAAAAAGTGCACTATTTATAGCACAAGAATGTCCAGAACATTGTCTCACTGAATGCCATCAAAATGTATGGATTCTGCTTATTTACTGACTAAGAATTCATGATCCATATAAGATATCAGTGTATCATTTCAAATGATTTACATGCGTTTGGCTGTCTCCAGAAAGTATTTCCATTTCCAGAATTGGTTTTGTTTCTTTTTTCTTATTTTTGGATGCAATATTTTACTGCAATCTCTCCATGAGGTGATTTATAACATTATGTTGTGTCTGTTTTTCACTTGGCAACCGCCAATGGCCAAAGTTCAGAGATATAAAGTATTGCCTTACTTTACTTACTGACTGATAGAAGGCATCTCAGGGAGCTCCTAATGTAAGATTGGAAAATGCAAAGAAGAACAGACATCTCTTTCTGTTTGATCCACCATTGTGGTCCAGTGGGTGTACAGCATTTGCCCTCAAGTTTGTAACAATGCAATGTACAACTGTTTGTCTTTCTGCAACAGGTGGGGCAATGGAAGGGGAACGGGGTTGTCTGGAGTATTTTTCTCTGTCTCCATGACAGAATTAGTCACACAGGAAAATAACAGACAGTTAACACTTGCAACCGAGGTGAAAAATAAAGAATATGCCGTTTGTTTGCAGACTTCTTAATCTTGAGTTTTAGATGCAGCTGTTTAGGAACTACGGCTTTATGTACATTTGATTTGATTAATTATCAAAAACCATGCAGAATTCACATGCTATCAACTGCTATTAAGTACTTTTTGTTTGTTGGTTTATTCTCTCTCTGTTAAAATCCTAGTACCTGAGTACTTAAAAACTTTTAAATATGGGCTTAAAACCTACTGATTCTATATTGTAATTCTTCAGTTGCGCCACGTGAGATACAACATTAATATAGCATTTATTTTTGCGCTGTTCTCAGAGATCCCTGACTGTGACCTCAGCTGCATGCATAAGAGTGAGCTATTCAGGACACAGCCCTGTCAGGTGGGTCAAATAGGAAAACTTCTGTTCTCCTAACACTCCCCGTTGCATCAGTGCCTGCGTCAGTGAACCTGTGACCAGTGATTAGCATTACCGTGTTCCAACTGATGACAAAGACCTTGAATAGGTGAAAAGATCCCACATTAACTTCCACAAGCTTTTCCACACCGCAGCTCCAGATTTAGGTGGAGCTCCAGTCCAACAGTCGGGCGAGAAGCGCGCTTGAAGCCAGGCTGCTAATGCTAACCAGCACACGATGGCTGTTAATGGAGCAGTAAATACCCGCTGGGTTGGCCCCACGCCTCAGACAGCCCGGCTAAAGACAGTTACTTACATCATCTCCATCGTCACTGGAGCAATATATCTAACAGCCAATCTTGTCTCTGGTGTCTGACTGAGCCAACTGCACTGTACCTACAAATCCATATAATAAAACATATCACCGGTCAGATCACAGGTCAGATTTTCAACAACAATAACATGGTAGCTCAGTTAGTAAAGGAAATATTACATATTTGAAAACCAGCTTCTACTACAGGAAACCACAAAGCAATGCAAACTGATTCTGAATCAACCATGAAGCTTTACGTCTGCTCACTGAGGGCACTCAGGAGAAAAGGGCTTGTTAAGGGAGAAATTTAAACGTTTCAGTGATGATCTATGTTTTGGTATGTGCTTTCTTCTTTAAGTTCTTTCTCACCACCAAATTACACCATCTCCGTCTGTCTATTTATCAAAAGGAAAGAGAGGGATAGGTCACTTTCTGGGTCACTTTACGAGAACGGAACCTTTGTGAGACTCCAAGAAAGGATGTCACACAATACCGCCTTCAAGGATTTTAACACAAAAGGGGGCGAAGGCTTCAAATAAAACATTCAAACCAACTTTGGTGGTAGGCGGACCCCTAAGAGAGAGGATTAGGTTCCCGGGGAATGTCTCTAAAATTAAGTTCCTGCAAGCTTGGTCTATTGGCTTTTGCAGAATAGTGAGAAGAAGACCAAAGAAGGATAAAAACCCTTTTTCCAACTTCATTACAAAGTCAAGACATTTTATTTTTGTTACATCCTCTAATGTGAAAGGTCAGTACTCTGATCGTGAGATCCCATAAGCACATACATGTTCTGCTTTCTAAAAAAACATTTACAGGCAAAAGACCTCCACGCAAAATGTGCATCATCGGCAGACAAGTTGCACAGTCCCATAAACACCAATCAGATGGCAATCAGAGCCTCATTCGAAGCAAAAGTGTCCTTTATTCTTTCACTGCCTGAGTCAGAAGCATCTCAGATCCATCAAATAGCAGACAGACAGTGGTAAGCCCCGGCATGTTTGCCTCACATGGTCAACTCTGCACTCACTCAGGCAGATAAGCACATGTAGTCACGGCTCCTAAAATACATTCCCCAGAAAAAAAAACAAAGGAGTGACTGGCAGTCTGATACATGGTGTAAATGTTTAGCAGAACAATGGCTTACCTACTGGGACCTGTAAATAGGTTGACAAGGAAAAAAGTTCCAGGAAAAGTAGCCGGTATTCTCATGGTCATGATAAATTTACGATCAGATCTATGACCGATATTTCCACAGCTTTTGTAGCAATCGTGTGCATGGTGTGAACATGATTCAAACTTATTGTTCCGCAGTTATTTTGCTTTACCTTCATTTAATCAAAGCAATCGATGTATGATCAGAACAGCCGTGAATATCTGCACACAGCCAACTTTAATCCTGGGTGTCACCTTTAACTTCCATACATGAGCCAACTAAAGACCACAGAGGGTATAATTTGCTATGGGTCAAAAGCAGAATTGTCCCACAACTCATCTGGTACTTTCCTCTGACTGAGACATTGAATCAACTCTGAACTGATGGCAGTTTAAAGATTGATAATGCCACAATTATCTAATTAAATCCCATCTAAAACATTTGTACTCCACCAGCCAGAATTTACTGTGCAGTGAATCCTAAAAGGGAAAGAATCAGGCCCTCTTACATCTTTTGCTCATGGCCAAATGACCATTTTTGTTTTTTGTTCAGGGAACCAGCAAAGTAATCAAAGTAATCTAATTCAGCTCAATCCATCTTTGAGTTAGACCACACACATAAATGATGACTGATGAATCTTGAGAAACTTGAGCGAAATTTGACAACATTAATTTTTAACTCAGGCCCACTGTGGACTTTGAGGTCCATTTGGGATGATGATACAACATGCTCCTTCCTGGCCAGCGTTGGTGATATCGGTGCATTCCTGCCAGACTACTAGTTTACTGTGTTGAACCCATTTAAACATATTAAACACAAAGCACTTTCATTTCTACCTCCACACAATTTTAAAAATGGGGATCACCCGTGTCAGAAAAGTTCTTTCCCTACAAGCAGCACCACTGGCTGAAGATGCAGATTTATGTGTCCTAATGTTAGAGCAGCCAATTTCTGTCATAATGTTTCCCTTCAAAACAAAAAATTATGGTAGCTCAGAAGAAAGCAAACATTATTACTCAACATTCTCCAAAACAGTTAAAATATTTCAGCTGGGACCAACAATATAACACATCTCTAACCCAGGCATGCGCTGGTGTAAAACCCCTCGGAAAAACAGTCGGGTTCACTTATGATCAGATTAGTTCAGCTTTTAAACCCGGCAGGCCGTGCTTCAAACAATCCACCTTAAAACGGGGAAACCGGAAACAGCTCTGTCAAAAGGAAGCCCACTTCTTTGAACCTCACAGTTTTAACATAAACACCAATCATGCCATTATCTCATATATCTGCGCAGCGCTTTGCAGGCACCGTCCCATCAGCCACCTGCACTGGGTCATGAAAGAAACCACAGCACCCATTCAGCCTGGTCGAGCCCACATACTTAATTGAACACATCATTTATGCTGTGGGTTTCAAAGCAATCTATATAACTATCAAAGTCAGGGGACAGTCAAACATTTGACAGCTGTAGTCAAGTCCCAGATAACACAAGAGCTTGCATTTGAGTGGCAGAGTGATAAAACTGTGCAGCATGTAAGTAAAAACCAAACAGTTTAAATTCCCCAATCATACTGTATTTACAAAAGTCTTCACCATCAAAATTCTGGATCCCACCTCTTTTTTATTCGACTAAACTTTCTAAAATTCTTTCTTTCTTATAAAATCTTTTTTTTCCGCCCATTGACATTTGCACCAAAAATACTGACCAGCTTAAAGAAACAGCAGCAGCTGGTAAACATGACAGACTTTGTGGTCGCCTTTGATGCCATTGACAGAGAGATGCGTGTGACAGGTGTGTGGTGTGTGTCCGTGTGCTCCGAGGCACGGCAGGGTGTCATGCAGTTGGTAGTCACAGCCACAGATCTCACCAGGCTCTTTATAGCACGCCATAATACATTAAGGCTGCTTTCCCTGCTCCCAAATAAACTGAGCATTACCACGTATTAAAGTGGGACAGCTCTGATGGCGTTGCCTACGTCCATCCTCCAGCGTGCGTGGACTATATTTAGCAGCCCAGGGCTTCTGCCCAGCTCAGTCTGTCTAAAAACAGAGACAGAAAAGCCCACACCCATTGTCTGACACAGCGCCCACTGGGAGCCAATGGGGCAGCACATGTGCACTTTTGTTACGTCTCCAAAGCTCGTAAAAACCCTCATGGAGCATGAAATCCCAGCGTCCACCTGCACATTTCAAATCAGATTTTACATCTCTCTGATCCTTAATCCAGAGACAGCATTCCTCTCTTTCCTCACAGCGGATAATTGAGCGTGAGGTGCAGCTTTATGGGCCGTTAGCCAAACTCCTGCCACAGACACGGGTCATGATGGAAGCATATTCTCCAACCAAAGGGGCGTGAATCTGATTCCTGGACCGAATCCAAACTCGGCACATGATTGCTGCTTACTGAGGTGATGAAGCTCACACTGGAAACATAATCATATAACACCTTTCGGAATACTTCGGTGTGGAGCACTTCAGGCCGAGCCACTTTCTTCCTAGTGTGTGGAAAACAGAAACATGTGCAGCATGCATTCTGCACACACCTAGTCTCATCACAGTGAGTGCCGTACAACTCATGTCCCAACAGCACCAGAGCGGCCAAAGAAGAAGAAAAAAAAACACTCTTTAACATTCAGGTGCTACATTTTACTGTCCCCACTGGCCTATCATTATTCACATAGCAGGTAACAGCTGGCAAACATCTGTTCAGGCACAGAGTAATCTCACCTGTCCGAGGTCCAGCGTAACATTCACTTCATTATAGACCATTCCCCTGGAAAGAGGGGGGCTTTGCCACCATCGCTGAGTCCCATCGATGGCATTGCTCACCGGATGGGCTTTGTTCGGATCCATGGAGTGGCAGATGTCACAAAATTGACCCTAAATTGTGATAAGCGATTAGTTCTGAGAAACACAAGTACACTTTATTAGCTTGGCAAGCAAGCAGGTTTTTAGAAAAGGAGGCGGTATCGGCTAATAGTTTTGCTGCTGCAAAGAAACTTGAACAAAATGAATAGCAGTGCAGCCAACAATGTGGATTAGAGGAATTCCTGGCTTTTTACAGTAATGCATGAAACCTATTAGGAGACAGGACCTCTGTTGAAAGTCCTTTCCTTTAGAAAACGTGGGAATAAAGTAATTTAAAACCACATCTGGCAGCTATGTGTACCTTAGGGGTTTGCAGAACCGTCAGATTTTACCACATGTGATTGCAAATCAGATCATAGCATAGGGGGATCTTCTTAAAAATGACTTTCAGACTGGGGTTTAGAGTCAAATAAAACTACCAGTTATTGTATGGAAGTGAAATGGTATGACCGAATACGGTTGTTACTCTGCTGTTGCATCCCTCTTTAAAGATTGGATTTAAACGGTTTTTTTTTTCTTACCTGTATATTTTGGGAAGGAACTCCAGTTGCAGGTCCTCCGACCAGCTTACAGTATATATCCGTTCTCGGGGTGCCAGCCTCATCCTGGCCGCAAGTTGCAGAGGCAGATATACTCGCCACCTCTGCGAGGTTAAAGTACGCCGGATTCAAACTGAAACCCGATAAGTCGTTGAAAGTTTCTTGTCCATCAGCTCCCCTGAAAATTGATATCCACGAGGTCAGAAAAAGAGCGAGGACCCTTGCCTCTATCATCCCCCCCGCCATGTTCCACATCAGAGACCCTTAGACGCTGAGAGCAACCCGCTGCGTGCGCGCAGGTCTTGTCATCTGTTGCTCTCCATGAACTGCGCCAGTTTACGCGCGACGTTCGGGTGGCGGGTCTGCACGTCCGCTTATGTCAGACAAAGCTTTTAAGATTCTCTTCAATCACTGGAGGTGTGTCCTGTTTTTAGCCGCATTTCCCCAAAACAAATGAGGCCATCTCTCGGCGTTGCACGCGAAAAACCAGAGGGTGCGCAGCTCTGGGACGCTCAGGTGTCGGGCTTCCGTGCGTCCGGGCTGATGCGCCGTGGCTGAGGGAGGGCAAAGGTCTGCCCCAGCGATTCACACTGCGTTTAACCGGTCAGCAGTGGCGCGTCCTGTGTATATATTAGTTCTCATTTATCTGTTGCCCTGAAGAAACTTCTTATAATTACGCAAATCTCCGCCTAAACACATGAAAACACATTTTGTAATAGAGCGAAACCTTATCAAACCATGTTGCGTTCTTTATGGAAAAACGTATGCACTTTTTTATGTTTCTTAACTGTGAGATCTTAAGACTGAAATGAAGAATATCAGACTTTAAAAAAAAACTAACTCTACGGGAGGACCATTTGCGCATAGACCAGTGCGTATGTTTAGACTTAAAGTAGCGTTTTTTTATTTGCCAGAAATGTTATAATATAGTATAAAGCAGCAGATCTGGATACGTTTGCCATGTCGTTGAGCCTCTCATGGTGATCGTGGGCCCCCCTCTGGTGGACTACACTGCACTCACAGTTGTTGGTGCCATTTCTGTGTCGCGCACAGTTACGTCAATGTAAGTGTATCACTGAAGAAACAGGAGCTGGCGTCTAGAGTTACTTCTGAAACTTCTTCGTTTTCGTTCAGACTATCGTCCCACAGTATTTAAGGAGACTTGTCTGTTATACGCCGAAACACTGCTCTGTTGTGCAGTTTGTTTTGTGTTTTGGGGACTTCCACGGCAACAGTTCAGCATGGTGACTCACTTTTCCGCGTCCCAGCAGCATCGCCACATTCTTCGGACGGGACAGGCGTCTCTCTTTAACGCATGTGTGAGATGAGGGAGAGATAAGCAAACAGGAACTGAACTGGTGCGGTGACTTTACAGCTGGCTAAACGAAACCAGACTTTAAGGGATCAGGGGTTGGATTGGTTCAGTGTTTTGCTTTGTTTTTTTTTAAACAGGACTCCGCATGGAGCCAACAAATCTTCAGGTAGGTTGAATAATCTTGACCAAAGGTTCCTCATTCAGAGAGTAGCTCCTCGCACAAAGCGTTTGTCTTCTGACAGCTTTCGCTGTGGGACTTTCTAAACGTTGCCAATTCTGTACGTGTAAAACTGCTTCCGGCCTCTCTTTGATTCATAACAGGATTTGTCGCTTAAAACTCGAGGCTGGAGCTGCCCAGCTGACCACAAACAACAGCTAGTGACAGTCGTCATAGTTGATTTGATGTGTTTTTTTGCCAAGGAGTGTGACCAGCCGTAATTTAGTGGCAGGGCACGGAGTGTCTGGATGCTTTTTTGCTTCACAACAAATCTCAGCGTCTCTCTTGCTCTGCAATGAGGAGTTCCCCTAACCAACGTCTCATGACAGCAATAATAACCCTCATAGAGATCGCTGGAGTTGTGCAGTTTCTTCTACATGGACAGATCTTTTAGAAGTTCATCAGTCTGGTAACAGAGATCTTGTAGGGCAGTATGGAATCTGTCATATATGATAAGATATGATAGGTCATAAAGAGCTTTTTATGTGACCTGGATTTTCAAGTATTTCCCTGTTTTACCAGGAGCCTGTGTAGTCAGGCCAAAGCAACGGAGATGTGATTTGGATCAGAGGATTCTCTGGATGTTCAATTTAAACTAAGTGAAAACGACTACACTGTTGTTTGTCAGATGTGATGAAGACATGGACTATTTTTTTAGCCTAAATTTAGAAAGGATGCTACTGATTTCAGGAATGTTCCACAAATTATTTATTATAAATGTATTATTATAAATTTGATGGCAGTCATTAAATTGTTAACAGTTTTAACATCCAAATGAAAATGTCACAGTCATGGTTATTTACCATTCAGTATACTATTTCTGAGTTTGATTAATAACATTATCAACTAACTTAATACTGACTTATACTCATTTAATGGGAAGAGATGCCACAAATCTAAATGTCAGAAAGGTTATAAGCGTAAGGCTGCATTTGCAAGTGATGTTGATAAATGAATTTACATTTGAAAACAGGAAAACCCAAGTTATCTTAAGTCAAACTCTTTAGTTATATTTGAATACCAAGTCAGAAATCACACAAAAAATATCACTTCACAGCATTTGTTTTGGCTGAAGTTGACTACACTGACCAGGACTCTTAACTTACTTTGATAGTTATGTGTAAACCATTGCAGAGACTTCCGTACAACAAAAAAATTTAATTTTCTTCCCTTTCAGAAAGCTATAGCTGTAGCACAGAAAGCATCACAGGAAGACCAGGCTGGGAATTTTGAAGATGCCATTCGATCCTACCAGCATGCAGTCAAGTACTTTCTGCACATTTTGAAACGTACGTTGCCATGGTGGGAAGCATAGTACAAGCACTATCACTAAAATAAACAAAGATATTGTGCTGCACCATCTTTACAGTTCGATACCATTGCTGGATGGACTCTGAATATTTGCAGATTAAAATGCTTGGTGGTTAATTAATAAGGTTTCCTTGTCTGTGTCGTGATTTTAAGGTGTGCCCTTTTTCCCATCAGGTGAACCTCAAGGTAAAGATGGGAACCAGAAGATTAGAGACAGATGTAAACAATACCTGGACAGAGTGGAAGAACTACAGGACTACGTAGTGAATAAAGAGGTCATAACAGAAAATATCTTACTCAGGATATGTGAGCACAATCATCTGTAATGTTAAAACAAGAGCAGTGGAAAAAGTGCCAATGACCCTCAATAAGAGCAGAACTATTATAGCTCAAAAAATGGTTTTAACTTAAAGACTTAATCAGTGATGTATACAGCAAGTGAAAATGTTACAGTGACATATTCGAGGAGCCAAATACCAAAAATATGCATGACTATTGCTATTACTATTTATATATAATCACGATTTACCAAATTTAGTACATTTCTCACACAATTAGCTTTTTATATTTGTAGTTTTATAATGAAAATTATTATAAGCTATTATTTTGAATAGAACGGAAATAAAAAGGCACGGCGTTACGTCTTGATGGCGTCACGTTCCGTGTACGCCAGTATCGACTATTCAATGCGGAAGTTGCCTCCCAGATCAGACTCGGGAGCCGTCGAAAAAACGAAAACAAGTCTAAAAAAAGCTTTGTAGTTCAGCAAAAAAACTTACAGCGCAGCTAGATTCAGTAAAGTATAGTTTAAAAGTAGGTAAATTGCGTTGGCGTTACACTTACTTTTGTTTTTGCACAAGCGATTAGCCCTTATGGCCAACAATAATTTACAGGTAAGTTGTGGACCAACCCTTTAGCTGGCTAAAACGTTTAGCTCTGAAGTTTAATCTCTGAAGTTTTCATTATAGTTTGAACAACCGTCCGAGACGAAATGACTGAAATGTACAGGCTACGGTTTATTGTTAATGGCTTGTATTCAATTTTAATACAAACCATATACGACATTTCACAGCGCAATTAGCTTTCTAGCTAATTAGCATAGCCATGTTAGCTAACAAGTTAGATATCGGGAATTAGCTCGTAAACAAATACATTTGTGACAACTGACATGTTTAACTTATCATGACGACGGAATGTTCTTATTTTCCTCATGGCTTGTATAATCAGTACCAGCTTCTGCTCTCTTACAAAGCAACTAATTAGATTAACTTTTCTAGTTAGCTTGTTTTAATCACTGTGACACATAAAAAAAAACACGCAATTGCTGTTTTATTGTATTTGTGTTGTAGCTTTAACTCGTTTAGCAGATCCACTTTCTAACTCTGTAACTAAAAGGAAGTGAAAGAGAGGGCCTCGACAATCAATATAACAATCGTTCCGCGTAGTGTGAAATGTCACCTGAACAGAGCAGGTGTTGGTTTAACCCCGAGCTCAACAGATTATGATAGTTGTGTATTTGTAGGACGATTTAACAAACTCCGGTATGATTTTAATTCTTTCTAATTTAAGATATTCAATTCATCCGTGTGTAACTAGCATCAGTTTGATATTTTTATATAAAGTCTGTGTTAGAAAACACACATCATGCAAATGTATTATTGTTTTTTTAATGTTTTTTTTTTTACCCTACTTATTTTAATGCAAGTTCATTTTTACAAATGTCACTAAAACCACCAGTCAAGTAATTTCTCTCCTTCTTTTATTTAATTTTTTTTAGAAAGCCATTGATCTTGCCAGCAAGGCGGCTCAAGAGGATAAAGCTCAGAATTATGAGGAGGCTCTGCGCCTCTATCAGGCTGCTGTCCAGTACTTCCTCCATGTGGTAAAATGTAAGGCATTTGTGATTCTAATTTGATTATGCTATGTTCTGTTGTTCGTGTAGCTGCTTATTGGTTTAAATGAGTAGCATAAATGCCTCAAGAAATTTAGTACTGTATTGAGTTGTTTGATAATAACTGATCATAAGTTAATAGTGGGTTTGCGTAACACTTGTGCTTGAATTTATTACTGAGTATCTTTTTTTTTATGATTCTGGACAGATGAAGCCCAGGGTGACAAGGCAAAACAGAGCATCCGGGGAAAATGTGCAGAATACCTGGACAGAGCAGAGAAGCTCAAAGAGTATTTGAAGAAGAAAGAGAAAGCTCCTCCTGCTAAGCCTGTTAAAGAGTCACAATCTGATGACAAAGGGTGCGTTTATGGGTGGGGCTGAGGCCTGTGTCTGCTGATGTGATGCCATTCATACATGAATTCCTCTTAAATGTTTATTTGGTTGACAACAGATGGAATATGACATGCATACATATATGTAAAGATTACATACATGTAAAGATTAAATACATGTGTTTCTATAATCAGGAATGAAAGTGATGAGGGTGATGATCCAGAGAAAAAGAAGTTCCAAAATCAGCTCTCAGGTTTGTTGAATGCTTATTTAGAGCTATTGTAAGTTATATTTAAACTTTTTATTTAGGCCTCTTTGTAACCCAAAATTTTCATTTTTAAAGGTGCAATTGTCATGGAGAAGCCAAACATCAAATGGAATGATGTTGCTGGTTTAGAGGGAGCCAAAGAGGCCCTGAAAGAGGCTGTTATTCTCCCTATCAAATTCCCCCACCTTTTCACAGGTAAAGTCTTATTCGACAACAGATCTGCCTCAATTCTTGGCTCATAAGGATTCAAACATTCTTTTTTACTTCACAAAGCAACAACATAAAGTTCAGTTAGTGGTGTTTTGGTGACAGTAGTTTCTGGATTAAATCATTCTTTGCTTGACAAACAGGAAAGAGAACTCCATGGAGGGGGATCTTGCTCTTTGGGCCTCCTGGTACAGGAAAGTCCTACCTTGCCAAAGCTGTCGCGACAGAGGCAAACAACTCAACCTTCTTTTCCATCTCTTCATCTGATCTTGTCTCCAAATGGCTGGGAGAGAGTGAAAAGTGAGTAATTAAAACTGTTGTTCAGTCATTCATAGGTTCAGCAAATCATTCAGTATTCTTTACATGATGATGAATAAATGGGTTGTTATTTATAAGATGTTTCTCAGTAAAGGGTGGTTTTACCTCTCTAAAATACTTTATTTTACATCTTAGATTGGTGAAGAATCTTTTCAGCCTTGCCAGGGAACATAAGCCTTCTATAATCTTCATTGATGAGATCGACTCCTTGTGTGGTTCAAGAAGTGAGAATGAGAGTGAAGCTGCTCGTCGTATCAAAACAGAATTCCTGGTTCAAATGCAAGGTGAGTTTAATATGAAGTGGCAATCATTTATTTCTGAGCAGTAAATAATATTGTGACAATTCAAAAACACTGCTTACAATTTGGCTCAATCATTGTGGCATAATTCCAAAGTCAGAAAAATATATTTGATGTTGGAGGATGTTGCTTTCTGAAGTATTTTATTGCCTTTGACATCAACCAAATCTTTAACAGAAGTTCCTTGTACTTTACAGACCTGACTATACTTTGGTCTTAATGTTGTTATTTTAGCATTATTTTAAAATGTACAAGATGTCTGGAGGTCAATAAGTTCCACTGTGAACTGCAGCAGGTGTCTCCATTACTTTGATTTCTTTGTGTCTTCGGGATTCCGGTTTTATTACGTTGAGTCATTTTACTGCCAATGTGTGGAGAGGAAGTCGAAGAGAAAAAGTAGTTGACAGGCAACAAACGGCTAGCTTGAATAACACATTTATTTCAGATATTACCTTTCTGACCAACAATGTGATGAAAATTGATTATTTTTAGGAAAGTACTGACCAAAATATCCTACACCTATAGAAAGTTTCTAAGATTAAGAGATTACTTAAAAATGTAAGTAGACTATTTTATGCTGTATGTGAGGCAGCTTTTCGTTTTGTTTAGGCCTGAATGAAGGTCTTAAGTCTACATGGCATTGGGTAGATGCAGCATCACCACAGAGATTTCTGTACCACGGAGGAAATTTCTTTTTAACCTGTGCTGTATCCCATTCAGCATTTCCAGCTGATTACTCTATGAGGTCTGATAGCTGTCAAAACAGCTGTTCGGGTTTTTGATTATTTTAGCAGGATTTCTATCTGAACAGGGTAGTTCTCTCTCACTGCTCTCTCTCTTCCAAATGTTCCTCTTGCATTCCCTCAAGAAGGGAATATACTGAACGATGAGGTTATTCCTTTGTATGATTTTTTTTTTTTCTTCTGAAATGCCACATCCCCGTACCAAGATGATGATACCAAGACTCATCAGGCTTGTGAAAGAATGGCTCAGGGAACTTGAGACATAATTTTCTCTCATGGATAGGCCAACCCAGACTCCGGTCCTTAAGCCCATAGGATGTTTTGGAGAAGGCTTTGTGTACTTGTCAGAATCCCATCCTGAATACAAGCCCTTGGTGGAAAATGAATGCAACATGGATGAAAATCCATCTTGTGGCATGGCAGACAAAACAATGCGACAGCGAAGGTGCTGTAAACTAAAGGTTGTCCAACGAAGTAGTCAAGTTTCTGCCTTTTTTTTTTTATGGTGACTTTTTTTTGTTTTGACATCCAGCAGTGTAGCTTGAATATTTTTCAATTTAGCAGTTAAAAAACACAATGGCCAAGTCATGTTTTTCCTAAACTCATTTAACTTGCAGCATAATGCAGCTCTGACTAATCATGCAGTAAAAATAAAAGTGATGGATGTTACCAATAAGTTATTCACTTTCTTCAAATCATCAGCTTATATCTGTGTGTTATACCTAATTGTCCTTGTTGCTGTTTTAAAGGGGTGGGAAATGACAATGAAGGAGTGCTGGTTCTCGGGGCAACAAACATCCCTTGGACTCTTGATTCTGCTATCAGAAGAAGGTGAATATTAAGCATGTTACCCAGTAATGGTTTAAGCATGATATCCAGTAATGGTTTATGTGTTCTCACTGTAATCAAATGATACCATTTCAGATTTGAGAAGAGGATTTACATCCCGCTGCCTGAAGAGCACGCCCGCTCATTCATGTTCAAGCTCCATCTGGGCTCCACTCTCACCAGCCTCACCGAGTCTGACTTTTCCACTCTGGGCAAAAAGACAGACGGATACTCGGGGGCAGATGTTAGCATCATTGTCAGAGATGCGCTAATGCAGCCTGTCCGAAAGGTCCAGTCTGCAACCCACTTCAAACGGGTACGTTCATCCTGTTCAGGCTGTTTTGTTCCACCGTGTAACGGGTTGACAAAGGCTTATTGTCTTTTTGCTTTTCTTTCGCGCATCGTGATTTGGAAAAAGGTACGAGGTCCATCAAGAGCAGACCCCAATGTTATCATCGACGACCTCTTAACTCCCTGTTCGCCTGGTGATCCAAATGCAATTGAAATGACCTGGATGGAGGTCCCTGGGGAAAAGCTGTGTGAACCCGTGGTGTGCATGGTAAACAGAGATCTGACTATACTTGCTACTCATTTCATAGATGACATCTTTTGGATCCATCTTTTATTTGTTTTCATTCTTGCTTCCCTCCAGGCCGACATGCTGAGGTCTTTGGCTAGCACGAAGCCAACAGTCAACGAGCAAGATCTGGACAAACTGAAAAAATTCACAGAGGACTTTGGACAGGAAGGCTAGGTCGGATAAAGAAGTAAAACCAAAGTAAAGTAATTGTAGTTGACTCTTTTACTATCCTCCTTCTTTTGTCTGCCTCACCCTAACCATTCTCCAGACCTAGTGCGTTCTCTAAAGTTGACGAGATTACCATTTTGGTTTGCCAATTTGATGACCACACAAAGTCTGCAAGACTTAGTTTTACTTGGTATTCACTTGTCTGAATATTTGCCACATAAACTGTCCTGATAAAGGGTTCAGCACCACCTAAGAAACCTTGGAGTTTTGTTTGACTTGAGCACTAAAGAGTGATGATGGTGATAAGCAGACTGTACGGGCAGATCAGAAAAACTAATCCTGGACATGAAAAATGATTTTGAATAAGTTATTTTAAGGTGCAACTGCTCTTGTCTTCACTAGATCAATAAATATGCTTTACATACTCTATTTTTATTAAGATAAAACAGGCCTGTCTTTTTTTAAGCATATATTGTACTTAGAGGAATGTATCCAACTTGCACATTAATACATACAGCATGAGTTCAGAGTGGACATTATAGAGCTTGGAGGCAGAGATACTCAGGATGAGAACTTTGCTAAAGTCAGTTTTGGATCATTAACCAATTTCGTAAAACAAATTTAAACAAAAAGGTCACCATACATGTTGACTGGATTAGTCGTGGTGGCAGACCAGCATTGTTTTCATGGACTCAGTAGCTTTGAACTGTATTGCTCTTTTTTCTTTGGTCTTGTTTTGTTATCACAATCTATTGTAAAAATCATTTATATCTACAGGCTTTGTTGGTTATCTTTAATAGAAAAACCATAAAAAATAAGCCTTATGTTAATATCCAATTACCAATTTTGATAAAACAGAAACTAGGCGTAAGGTTGGACAGCAAAGGCTCAGGAGGAGAAATCTTTGCCTTCTTGACAACAAAAGAATGTATCTCCAACCAAGAGCTTCAAGTAGCCATAAATGGCAGTGCGCACCATGTGCCTTCCTGAAAAGATGCATGTTTGGTTATTTTTATGTTGTTTCTTTCTCCTAAATTGGTCATTATTCTAATATATCAAGTGCTTTGTCACTACAACTAAGGAATGTACAGTGCTTGTATGTTTCACGTAAGCTCTTTGAGAGAGTGTATACAGCTGTACTCTGTTTCTCTTGAGTTATGTAAACTTTTCTTTTTTTTCTAAAGGGGAAGGTCTCATTTTATTGTATGTCTGTGTATGTAGCCAACTATTGAACCTTTTTCTGTGAGAAAAAGCAACCCATGGCTGCTTCAGTTTTCTGTTTTTCCATTTCCTCAATGTAAATAAAAGTTGTCCAGAGAATGTGTCTCATCTCTGTAACATTGCGGTTTTCAAATCAGCAGGAATTAACAGTTTAAGTTCTAATTTAATTTAGTTGCCTCTCCACTTCATATAAATGTTAAGTTTTATCTGTATTATGTCAAAATATATTATTTTATCAGTATGCATGATATAATCAGATCAATATATATATATATAATAATTCAGTATTATTTCGAGAAAAAACAGGTACATTTGCAGTCTATGTGCGACTATTTAAAACGGACATGAGTCATTATTGCTTTGCATTGTGGGAGTTGGTGTTTATGAACGTTCACCCGCCCTCTAAGCGAGCAGAGGAACGTTCTGGGCTTGAGAACTACAAGTACCAGATGCGAACGTTAAACGTCCACTGAACGTACACAGTTCGGTTTGTTTTAGTTTATCCTGATAGCGCTTTGTCACGAGGCACCAAAGTCCACTGCAGTACGCTAACCTGGCCGTTGTACATCTTTGACTAACTGTCCAAACGTGGAGCAACTCCACCCAGGTCTGAGTTACGCCACCCCCTTTCAGGGGCCGCCGTCTGCCTCGTAGCTGCGATAACGCATTCGAGAAACTAACCTGCTAGCTAGCAAGCAAGCTAAGAATTCACCCATGTCCTCTGAAGAAGGGTTGAGCTCTACGATCACAGATTGGTTTTTTATCAATTCCTGGTGGCTCCTTCTCCCGTTCGTTATGATTCTTGTGATTGCTGCCTTCATCGTGGCTTTTGTGTTGCTGCTCTACATGATATCCCCCCTTATTAGTCCCAAGCCTCTGAAACTCAACGGGGCCCACGTCGTGGTGAGTACACAGCTTTACCTCCTCGGTAACGGAAGCTAACGTCTAATTTAAGAGCTGAGTGTCGCAGTTTAGGCTGATTTTGCACGGTGTGACATTGCACTCTACAGTGAAATATTGTTCTCGTTTGCTTAGGGTCAATGACACATGAATAGCTTTGCTTCAGACGGGCTTGTTTTTGTGAGTGGCCTATAAATGACTGGCATTTGTCCACAATGAGCGGCGACACGCCCACGTGAGAGATGAATGTTGTGAACTGCGTAGCTTAGTAGTGTCAGGTTGAAGGGGTTTAGTTGATTTTCCTTTTGTTTTTGTTTTTCTTTTATTAAAGAGGCTTAGTGTGTGTGTTTCAGTTTTACAGAAACTTTTTCGTTACCTTATCAGAATCTTTCACCGGACCCTGAAATATTTTGACATCAAAACGTGAAAAAAGCATGAAGTTTTTTCATAAGTTATCATGACAAAGTGTGCGAATATGTTGATAAAAGAAATATCTAATCATTTCGCTTTATCAGTGGAGCTGTAGAACAATCTGAAGGCAGTCTAGTAATGATAACGTAATATCATTATTATGACTTTTTTAAGTCGATTTGACCTTAGCCTCGGAGCTGCATATCAGCTTCCCCATCCCTGACCTTTGTTCTGCTGCCTGAATGTGCAGGTTACTGGAGGCTCCAGCGGGATTGGGAAATGCATTGCAGTGGAGTGCTATAGGCAAGGAGCATTCATCACCCTGGTGGCACGAGATGAGGTAAACACGAGCTCTTTTATTGTGACAGACAGCTCATTTTAATGTCAGACACAGTGAACCTAAAGGTGAAGCTGTTCCAGCAAATGTAGCTTATTATTACATTAAACCATTGACCTGCATGGAACCATGGCAGGTCCTCAGATGAAACTTTTTTTTCTTATTTCTTATTTCACAAGCTCTAGTGACATTTGCAATGTTTGTACTAACACCAAGTTTTTTTGTTTGTGTGTTTAATTACACATTCCCATAGGAAAAATTACTCCGTGCAAAGAAAGAGGTGGAGAAATTTGCCATCAATGACAAGCAGGTATGGGTCCAGTATTTATAAGAAGGGAAGAGCCTGCATGGACAAAATCTTCTCTTCAGGCAAAACATCTGATAGGGTGCTTAAATTCTCATGTTCTTCCGTCCAGGTGGTGCTCTGCGTCTCGGTAGATGTTTCCAGTGACTACACTCAGGTGGAAAATGTAATAAAACAGGTAATGTATTCTCCGTCACAGTGGCACATATCAGATTCTTTTGACTAAATGATTGATGCGGCTTTGAGGTGACTTTTTGTTGTCACGCAGGCTCAGGAGAAGCTTGGCCCCGTCGATATGCTTGTGAACTGTGCCGGAACATCTGTTTCTGCAAAGTTTGAGGAAATTGAGGTGGAGCGTTTTAAAGTAAGTGCTTCACTCGCTCTGCGCATCTTTGTCCATCTTCAGGGGTCGATACGATCCTCTAAAGAAACTGTGCTGAAAAGATTAGGGAAAATATTTTCCACAGTTCTCTAAGCACAACAAGCATCAACATGTGGTGTTTTGTCTTTTCAAAGTTGGCAAAACTGAATTTGAGATGTAAGTTTTGTTTCATTATATGCTTAAAGTAATCAACCCTGTTATGAAATATAAGGGTGATGACGCCTGCCGTTGGGTATGTGTTTCAAAGAAAGCTAATTTCAGGTTCAGTTCTGGGTTTTCAGTGTCACAGGCGGTTTCAATTCCCACAGAGCTGCGCTGCCTCGACAGCTGGTGTTGAAAACCACCCCTAAAGCAGGTCACGTTCCAGATAAAGTATCAGCACATACAAGTCAGAACGACCTCACTCGAGAATTCTGGTGAAAGTGGTATAAACAGAGGGGTGATGGTTTCCTATACCTGATCAACACTTGGTAAATAAGCACTTTTGTACAGTTTATTCATCAGATTTTTGTGTGCCTCACATTGTGTAGGAATCTCAGGAAGACTGCCGTCTACTTTAATTTTCGTTAGAACCACGATAAGCAAGGCTGTGACTCAGGGCAGTATCAAAACTATTGGATACTATATTGTTAAGTCTGAGAACCAAAACGTGTCTTTGATGCCAGCTCTTATTTCTCAGGTTTGGAGTTCGGGCTTTATTCCGAAGCGTGACAGTTTCAGGACATGCTGTTCTCCAGAGACGTGTGCATTCACATTAATGGGGGACCTGTGTTGTAATATTCAACAGGAAATGATGGAGCTGAACTACCTGGGCAGCGTCTATCCAACGCGAGCGGTCATCACCACCATGAGAGAGCGACGGATGGGCCGCATCATGTTTGTGTCCTCCCAGGCTGGCCAGATCGGTCTGTTTGGATACACCGCCTACTCCCCTTCTAAGTTTGCCCTGCGGGGCTTGGCGGAGTCGCTGCAGATGGAGGTTTGTGTCCCTGACGTGGTCATTCCTTTCCTTTTGCAGACTGGGGATACTGGTGTTTGTTAGCCTCATAGTGACCGATAGGGATTCCCTGTCCACCAGTAGGGGGCACATTTACCGAATGCAAAGATGCTTTGTGTAAACTGTCGACCTTTGTGTGGAATTATCAAGGCTAACCAGTCACAGAAGCTCAAGACTAAGCCATCTATTGTTTTTTTAATACTTTATATATTTCCAGGTAAAGCCATACAATATCTATGTGACTGTGGCATTTCCCCCGGACACTGACACTCCACTGCTGGCTGAGGAGAACAAGTCAAAGGTACTCATCCAAAAGAAAAGCTTCCTTGTTAAACATGTGGCTCCTGTGAACATCTCTTGTTTACGTGTTTTACTTCTTCGTTAGTTTGACTGGGACAGTCACACCAGTATTTCTGGTTTTTACTCCCTTTTCTTCCTCTATTCAGCCCTTAGAAACCAAGCTCATCTCTGAAACCTCTGGAATCTGGCAACCAGACCAAGTGGCAAAGATCCTTGTCAAAGACGCAGTGGTGAGCAGCTCAGTTGATCTGCATGGATCCATGTTTTGAATATGTGTTTAATGCCCTGTTGATTTGAATATTTTATTCTGCACTTTTCAGCAAGGAAACTTCAACAGCTCGGTTGGTCCTGATGGCTACATGCTGTCAGCCCTCACCTGTGGGATGTCCCCCGTCACCTCCATCACAGAGGGTCTCCAGCAGGTACGCCGGCGGCCTGACCCCGTCACGCGGGACCGAGCTGTTCTCTGGGCTTTTGGGGGAGGCCTTCCCGGTTTCAGCGGCAGCATTAACCTCTACGTTTCTGCTCAGATCGTCACCATGGGCTTATTTCGGACCATCGCCCTCTTCTACCTGGGGAGTTTCGACAGCATCGTGCGGCGCTGCATGATTCAGAGGGAGCAGTCCAAAGCGGCGGACAAAAGGGAGTAGCAGCAGCCTTAATGCCCCCCCACCCTCCACAGCCCCTTCCTCCAGCCCCTTTCTCCAGTCATACAAGTGCACAGCCGTAGATGGGAGTATGATGGCCAAGTCCAGTGCGTTTTATATCAGCTAAAGAGTTAAGAGGGAAGACAGGAAAAGGGGTTTACCTGTTGCTTTTCCCGCGCCGCAGCTTTCCCCCCCCTCCCAGATTCTAACTGTTTCGGGTTTCACTCCTCTCAGAGCATTAAGCCAACATTTGGTTTAATGCGTTCCTTTGCTTCTTATGTGAGAGCCGCCTTACTGGAAGGGAATGAGGGCAGACTAAACATCCCAGAGCCAGGATTTAAAGTAGGTAGTCACCGTCAACCACTGATTGACAGATATCAGGCTTTCCCTGCCTCGATTTGCACAGTGCTGTTTCTTTGTTTCCCCCCTCAGAGAGGAAAAGCAGCAGATGGCCTGTTCAACTAGTTGTGCCAAATATGGCTTTGAGTTTCTTTGCCCTCAAAGGATGTAGTGAAACACGGAGGTTTAACTCTCACATTCAGTCATAGTGTTTGCGTGTATCAGAAAACTCTCTCCACTTTTTACTGAGAATTTTACAAGACTGCAGTTCTCGATTTCTCTCCGTACCACAAGTCTTTGCTGGCAAAGCACCTTCCCTTTTTTGAGTAAATGACCTGTGTGTATCAGAAAACGTTTGTGACCCTCAGCGTTTTGTTTATGCTGTGGGATGATTTGTTTCTGTCCATGTGGGAACCAAGCTGTGAAGGGAGACAACAGTGCTCTACACTGGGATCAGAGAGTGGGAGAGTGTGTCGCGTTTTCAGCCTTTATCATTTTTACTGAGGCAACAACTCCCACTAAATGCTAATTTCGGACACTGTGCACGCAGCGCTGAGGACAGACAACCGTAGGTGAGCTGTGTGCGTGAATGTGTGTTTTTACTACGACTGAGCCAGCCCCCCAACGGGAGTCAAAAGCCATTCGAATTTTGATAGACACCAAACTATTTTCTCGTCATTCCAAATAGAGAGGAAGGCAGGCGGCGAGCCGAGGCCGCCGAGTCATACTAGAGGGAGAAAAAGCAGCACACCATTTCATCATCTGCACATTCCATACATCTCACCCCCCCCACCCGAAATCCTGCCAGGACCCACTTTTTGTCAGGGCAGAGAACGACTCGCTGGATCGAGTCGTGTCTCTGATGTGGATTTAGTTTTACCCGAAGGTCCAAACACTAGAGGGGCGGGCTCGAATGTGTGACCCCCGTCCCCGTGGTTTTGACACCCTGTCAAGCGCAGCTGTGACTTTGTTCATTCCCCTAAATTCCCGCTGATTTCCCTCCAAGCCTTGAACAGTCCTGTGAATATTTGTGCTGTGCGCTGACTTGTGCAAGTCTTCCTTGGGTCCATTGTGGGGGGGAATGTTATGCGGGGCAGACCAATCAGGAAGTCTGAATTTTGTTGTGAGGTCCAACCATATAGAGATGTGACAATATGTTTAGGCAGCGTCCTTAGATGCGATGCCTCCGTCAGGGGGGGGTCGCGGCTTTATTGGTCTTGGATTGTAACAAAGTGTGGAGCGGAGCCGTTCTAAGCCTTAAGGTGAGACTACTGGTGAGGCCAACGCTAGGTAAATGGAACCGTGGACAGCACAGTGGCTCGACCCACACGTGGTTTGCTACATTATTTAATGACTTTGTCGTACAATGTTCTGTACTTGATCCGTTTCTAGTCTCTGAAGAAGAAGCCTTTCTAGAAGTCCAAGATATGAAAGTGAGAATGCATGACTCGTGGCTGATGATGTTCTCATTAGATATTGGTTAAAGGCACACTGTCCTACACCCAAACCTTTCATTAATGTTCCTTTAATGCTTTTTAACCCGCCCCATCCTCCGCAAGAAAAAAAGTAGCAGCACATAGTTTAAAGAACATGTAGCTCATGTTAAAGCAGTTCTGTTTGAACCCCTTTAAGCTATGCAACTGGAGCCTGGGCTTTCAGTAAATACAGCGGACATAAAGTCCAGCACTCACTAACTCACCCCACTGGGTGTCACTGGTAAGAAACACTGAACATAAAAGTCATGCTGCGATCATTTGTTGGTTTCAGTTTTCTCTGTTTTTTTTTTTTTTTTTTCTTTTGCCAAAACAAAACGAACACTTTCACCTCGTGTGCCATAGAAAGAATGTGATAAGTGGAAGGTCTGTCTTATTTTCTTAAATGATCAACTAAATAAATGCCTGTAAGTAAAGCAAATGCTCTCCTGGTGCTGATTTTTGCGCTTCTTCTCATAACCTGTTGTATAAAAAAAGACACCTTAGTCAAAAAGTAAAGCCATCCTCAAAAGGTATCTCAAAACAAGATCTGGAAAAGAGGAAGTTGGTTTATTTTATTTGTTTATTTATTTTTTTTACTGCAAAGTGGGATTTCCATCCACAAGGGGGAGGCAGGAGCTCATCAGTTATCCTAAATGTCCTCTCCCCTGCACGTGAAGGTGAGCTCTGAAGTGATACTCTACTATTCTTAAAAGATGAGGTTAACGGTGCTGTAATTAAACGATTGATCTGTGGGGCTCCGAGAGCTGATTTTATTAGATTTTTTTTTTTAATTCATCATCAATCTGGGCGTAGATTTACAGGCGCGGGTGACGTCATGAGGAGCTGGGCCCGGTGGGCAGGAGGAGGGCTCAGTCCCGCTCCGCGCGCTCGTGCGCACCGCTGCCCACAGAGTTGGCCGCGTCGGAACCGGCCCGCCCCGCCCCCCCCCTCCCTCCCTCCTCCTCCAGCTCCCCCCCCCCCCCCCCCCCCACCCCCCCTCCCGCCCTCCTCTGGGGCGTCTGGCTTTAGCTTTCATTCATATCTTTATTAGCAGCGCGTCCACGTCTGGGCGCCGCGCGCGGGACCGGAGCGCCACTACTCTCCCTCAGCCTCTTCCGCCTGCTGGATCTCTGCAAACAGACCTCCGCCTCCAAGGATCCGGGAAGGAAAGGCTGCTGCTGACATTGAACCGCAACAGAAAAAAAAAGTAAAGAAAAAAGCATCGCTGCGCAGTCTGGTCCGGACTGGGGTGGTGGTGGGGGGGGGGGGGGGGGGGTTTGTAACATTTCCGAACTATTTTCGCTCGGTGTGCGGGGAGAGCTGCTCAGACCCCCGCGGAGCCCCGGGCTGGACGTGTCCGCCTCTCCGCGCATGCAGGAGCGCGCGCTTTCGATCACGATGCGTTCGATCCGCGACGACCTCTGATATTTTTAAAAAAGAAAAAAAAAAAGTGCCAAATTTTGAAAGCCGGCAATGGCAAACGAGTGTAATCGCGTTATCGTGGAAAAGTACATCTGCCATAAACTCTCCAGGCAGGGATACTCGTGGGGATCGGAAGACCTCCGGGACCGGGATGCTCCCTATAACGGATCTTTGGGTGACCGGTCGCCGGCCCCGGTCCGCCGGTGCCGGGCCGCGGGCTCCGGGCTGGACGGGGCGGGGGGCAGCCCGGTGCTGGTCCGGGGCCAGCGGCTGCAGATGCTGAGGGGGCCCGACCCGGACGCAGCCATCCACAGGGTCCTGCGCGAGGCCGGGGACGAGCTGGAGAGACTGTACCGGCGGGACTTCGCGGAGATGTCCCGGCAGCTGTACCTGACCTCCGCCACGGCCAGGGGGAGGTTCGCCGAGGTGATAGACGAACTGTTCCGGGACGGCGTCAACTGGGGCCGGATCATCGCCTTCTTCGAGTTCGGGGGCACCGTGTGCGTGGAGTGCGCCGCCAAGGAGGAGATGACGCCTCAGGTGGAGCACATCGCCGAGTGGATGACGGAGTATTTAAACGGATCTCTGAACAGCTGGATAGAAGATAACGGGGGATGGGTAGGTCTGATTCCCTCTAGTTGGGCACTTTGCGTTTGCCCTACTCTCTCTGCACTTGGAAATCATTTGAAAATGTGTGTTTTTTTAAATCATTTTTTTAAACCGTGTGATTGCTAAACGTGTGCTTGGCGTCCTGACTTCGGCTGATGGCCGCTCGATATCGAAAGTACACGTGAAGTCGATCATTATTAAAATTCTTCTCGAGATGTGGCCGTGACGCAAGACGGCGCAAGCGCCGGAGATGGACGGACTTCCTCCTCCGAGCGGGGCTCCCGTTGGTGGATCGTTTTGACTGTCAGCGTTAATCCAGCCAATCGGGCGCCGCTGGTTGCCACACCTCCCCACGCTTTGATATAAATGCGCGCCCAGATCCGTGCGCGCGGCCGGGGGGAGGAGAGACAGCTGAGGAGAGGAACAGGAAGTGTGCCCACTGCAACAGGAAGAGTGGTGTGTGTGTGTGTGTGTGTGTGTGTGTGTCTGTGCCAGGAGTGGCCTGGGTCTGAGGGGCTATAGGCAGAAGACCATTACATAGGTCACCACTCCTGGAGGGGGGGTGTCAGACATGGCAGCGAACGGCAGGCGACTGGGCCTTCGAATTCAGGCCCTGTGGTCAGAACCGGACAGTTTTCAGCTCTGAGAGCCCTTCGCTTGCCTTCCGAAAGACGAAAAAGTACTTCTACTTTTACTTCATAATATTTTCACACACATCCACCTAGAAATCCGCCTAAAACTGTCCTTTCTTTAAATTCATGTGCAAAACTGAGATGCATAAAGGAAGATGGCTAACGAGCCTTTAATTAGCGGCGGTATGCTTAATGAGGACATAGCATTTATGTTATGCGCGTTTATTTTAGCTGGAAGGTATCGGGATTGGAATACGCGGCCTGTGTGTATTTAGACGAGAGGGTGGGGGGGGGCATCAATGATTCATATCCAACGTTTCATCTCAAAGGATAGGAGCGTTTAACATTCCCCTTGAGTGTGTCTTGCCCCTGG